ATCTTATGCACATTGAAATTTGAGGCTAGTCAACAATACCTCAGGAACTGGTTAAAAATAAAAAGCCCATATGTATGCTATGAAAACAGAATCTGCAAGTAGAGCAAATAACCGCTTTCAAATTTCAGGCAAATCAGAGACACTGAAGCAGAAACTTCTATGTAAATTTGATGATCTGAGATGTACTGTCCTGCATTATTTACCAAATATATAGAAGACGTAGGTCCAGTCCAGGTAGAAGCAGATTTGCCCCGACAGAGGAAGACACACGACTGTCCCCATCTGGGCTCCTGGGAGGGAAGACAGAAGACAAACATGTGTTCAGCCGTCTGAGTGAACGTCGTGCAGCTACCGGATGATGAATATATGCAGAGACAAGCCAACACTAACAGTTAAAGGACTGATGATGCAGTGGCCAACCACTGACGTGTGCAGGGTTAGTTTATGTCCGTGCAGGTTCTGAGTCATCTGGTCATGAGTTTGGTTCTGGAAGACGTTTCACTGCACTTCCAAGAGGCTTCCTCAGTTCTAACCAGCACCAGAAACATCTTCAAGAACCAAAAACCTATTCTTCAACTGAAGCACTGAGGATTACACGGTGAGGTCAAGATGACGCAGATACGACAGGCCGAGCTTCATGCGCGGTTAAATCTAAAGCTGTTTATTAATAACTGGAAAGTTCATCACGATTTGCAGCGACTTCCTCAGACGACATCATATGACACAGTGTGCCCAGAAGCAGCAACCAGCAGAGAAGCTGGCATTTTTGCCTGATGATAAAGTACCTATAAATCAACTAGAGGTTGGTTCAAACAGTCCCAAAGTATCTGAACAGGGATATCAGTGTCATTTACAGCATTCATTTTCTCAACAGCTTGTGCAACATCAGTAGCAGGCGTAACATTTCGTTTTCATGTAAGGTACAATATTTCATAATGGTGTGTAATATGACTACACAACCTCAGATTAATAGCCAGTACTGCTTGTTACTTTTCTGTCTTATTTTAGCTTTTTATTTCCAGTAATGCGTTTATATTTTACTGCTTCTCCATTAGGCTCTGCATTTTTTCTCATATTACTTAATTTTGTTTTCTGGGCAACATCTGGCACAAGAATTCTTTGGGATTAACAAAATTCTATCAAATCTTATTTTAACTTAGTAATAAAAAACAGCTGAATGTTTTTTGTTTTTTTTAAAAGTTGAATTCTGTTCCTCGTGTCTCACCGATGTACGAGATGGTGAGCAGGCGGCTCCTCTCCATCGGTGGAGCCCACGCCGCCCACATGGTGTACATGGCCGGGAATGTGACGCCCTGAGAGCAAACACAACAGAGAGGCGCTCAATCATTAACTCCACCGAAGCCATCGGCGCCGTGCTTGCTCTGGCCTCGTTTTAGTTCGTTTACCTCTCCGATCCCCTCCAGCACTCGGACCGCGATAAGGTAGCTCGCGCCCAGGTCAGCAGCCGTCGGGGTAAGCAGCGTAAAGACTGCCGTTCCCAGGACTCCAAAGCCCATCAGCCACTTGGGTCCTAAGCGGCCGGCCAGGTAGCCTCCGGGGATCTGAGTCAGGATGTAGCCGTAGAAGAAGGAGCCCAGGATCCAGCCCTGCGTCGCCGAGTCCCAGTTATACACACTGGCCTGTGAGGGGAAGAAGCCGTCTTAGACTTTTAGACGGTCAAATGTTGAGAAGAGTGACTTCAGTGTTTATGATCATTCATCTGTGTATATACAGAACAATGCACCGTGGCCTCCTGCAATGTACAACACAAGATGAAAAACACAGTCGCACTTTTCTAAGAACGACAAACTGCTGACTGTCAGATGCCAACTTCTAATCTCTTGATTCACTTTATCCTCACTGTTTTAGCTTTTTGTTCTCCCCCCATGAATAGAAGACAAAAACAAAAAAACAACAAGGCTGTAATACAAATCATTGGCAGTCAGTGTGAAATGGGTCCAAAACAAATCTGCAGTGTCACCAGAACAACTTCCCCTCTCGCTCGCTTCTACATTATCCGTCTGCTTCTGCACTCGTACTAAAAAAAGGGACATAACTTTAAAGAAAGTTTTGAACGCACCAGGAGAACTGAGCTGACATATTCAAAGCATAACAATTTATGCAGATGATTTACTGGGTACATTTTTCTGCTCTGTTGGTTAAAAATGTGATTATCTCAACTTTCTGGATCACCAGAACTCATAACTGATGCTGTTGTATGTATATTTTTGACCCAGCAGATTTCCAGAAGACCTAAAATAAATCTATGAAAGAACCAATACACATGATTGTTTTTTTTTTTTGTGATAAAGATAAAAGTGCTTCAAAGATTCCATCACAGAAAATTCAGAGTTACGGGAGTCACTGGAAACTCTGTCATGATATACATGGTCTTAACAAGTGTATGTATGTGTTTACTGTATGGAGGTTCCATTTAATTTCATTGTTTATTCACATTCACTCATTCATTTTTCCTTTCATCTAATTTATCTACCTCTCAGTCTCATAAAAAACGTCTCATTCATGAATTACAGCAGTCTAGGGATGCAAGTAGAGGTTTAACAATAAATATAAACACTATAATTCTTGCATTATCAGCTATTTTCAGTGGATGTATTTTTTTCTTTATGTCTCCTGATCCAATAAACTATAAACAAATAAGGTTAAGTTTGAACTTTAGAGGTTGGAAACTGCTGCTACTTGTGCAAAACATACAAAACGCGTGCAGGAAATGTTCCACGGGGAGATTAAAATCTTGGCCTGACTCGTCACATTCTCGCTCACCGTGTGGTTGTGTTTGGGCGGAGCGGCGCTGGTGTGAGGCGGGCAAACCGAGCCGCTGTGGTTGGGGCTGGACGAGTGGGTGTTGTTGAGCATGTCCACCATCGCCACGCTGAGGTTCACCCTCAGGGAGTAGACCACGAAGAAGCCCAGAGAGGACAGAAGCGCCAGCGTGTAGCGACACGAACAGCATGCTGGAGCTGTAGGATGAGAGAAACAATGGTGTAATGACGGAGTAGTACTGTGTGTGTGTGTGTATGCTGTGTTTACCGAGAGTGTTACACAATATGGATAATCTATTTGGTAATACTTAATGAGGTGAGTTGCAATGCTCACAGACAAACTCAGCACTGAGCACGAGTGTAGCCGTCTCCCCTGAGTGTACGTTCAGTATATTGGCAGAAAAGAAACCACAAAACAAATGTGGTTGTTTTTGTATTAGTTTTTCATAACTTTAAACTGGATTTAGATCTTTTTGAAACACAGTCAATTTCTTGTCTTCACTGTATTTGCTTTTTTACTCACTAAATATGATCCTTTGAGTGATTGTTCTGATTTGTGCAGGAGGAATAGCTGTCAAACTAATTTAGGAAACAAACCAAAGTTAGACTTCAGCCTCTTGAAGTGCCAAATCTACAGTTTAAAAACCCCATATGATTAACTTACAGAGGCAATAGGTAATAGACTTTACTATGCAATTCAGGTCTGGGACGTCAAAGGACAATTAAGGCTCTATTTTGGGTTAAAAGAACAAACAGAGTAACAGTGGAAACTCCACCTCACAGAGAAAAACAGCTGCCAGAGGTGGCGGAGAAGGAAGAAGGATAGAAATTTACCTCCATGGAGAAATCTGTGGGACTCATTACAACCACCATTCAGTGAGCATTACTTCTAGAAGATCATTATTATTGTCTGTTGCCACTATGTGCCGTCTATACCTTATTTATCCCAGTAATACTGTCAGTTTCTGTGATTCGAGCTTCTAGATACACGTCTTGTATATTATAGTTACATTGGAATAGGAAAATAACGGGATGGGTCATTGTTATTACACTTTCCAGCAATGGATTTCACTAACTAGGTAGCAGTTTACAGAGAAAACATCACTTATCTTTGAACAGCTGATCAATGCTCTGCTACATGTGCTGCAGACAGTGATTGTAAACAATAAAGCTGGAGCTGCTCAATCTGGAAAAACGGTGTAATTCCTAAAACAGTGAGTTTGTGCAGCAGCTCTGTTGACTATCTGCTGCTTTTTCCTATGGAAAAAAATATGATATTGAGGTTTTAGCCTCTTGTAGCAACAAAGAGTTGAGAGTTTATAGAAAACAGTCAGCTGATGATCTGGTTATCAAACCTGTCAGCGGCTGCAGCCCTGATTTCTACTTCAAACGGGAATCTTTTTTTACAAAATCTACAACAATTAACATCTTTACATTCAACTAAACAAGTAAGTGCTAAAGATTATTGAAGTACAACTGCTTGCTGATTGACTGTCATTATATTGACATTGTAAAGCAGCTTCTAAATTAAAAACAACAACACTTCGTCCTCCAACATCCTGATCTGATCTGATGGGTCACCATGTTTACTCAGCAAGCATAATTTGAAGCATGTGTCAATACGTCTTAACTAAACTTCCTGAACTGTCAACTCAAAGTTTCTCAGAGCAGGAACTTGTGTGTCCAGACTTTTAAACCTGTATTTTACTGGAGTTGACTCCAGGAAACCAGAACTCGTGACTGAGGCCAGTTATAAAGCTAAAGTGTGCATAAAATCACAAGACAGGTGCAAAGAAAGCCCAATAAAGTCTTGGGTGACATAACATGAGCACCTGCATTTACTATTTATGTTGGTTAATCCAATAAAAACAGTCCCACAATAATGAGAACTGTTTACACTGCAGTGATGGAGGTTTATCCTCTTGGTCGTATGTATTTAATAGCATTATTCTGTGCAGGTGTTTTAAGAATTTATGCCTCAAAAACTAAACAACAGAAGCGAAACCCCGAAAAAAACAAAGTCCAAGTTAGGATTTCCTTTTCCTTGCTTCTATAGAATGAAACAGCGGAAAACAGCCGCCTCTTTGAAACATATGTCAGCAGGTAGAAGCTCAGTCAGCAGCCTCACTGCTAGCTGCTAGCTAGCCAGCTAGCCGGAGGTGTTCTAACGTCACCTTTGTGGGCTTTGTCTTCGGGTCCCCGGTGAAGCAGCGGCGTCTCCTGCTCGTCCCCCTCCGTGTCCGACCCGTACCGCTCCATTTTCAGCCGGCGGTGAACCACAGCAGGAGTTCTACTGCATCACGCAGACTGCAAACACACAAACAGAATCCGGAAGTGAACAGCGCTGAGAGGCGGTCAGCTGACTCAGCCTGACCTGGTCACGTGATGGGGGGAGGCAACCAGCCGCCATTTTGCCCCGAGTTCAAGTAGTAAACATCAAAGAGGAAAACACGAATTATATTGTTTTTTATATGATGATGAGTACTGCAACAAGTACTTAGAAAGTTTATTTCAGTAAAAGTACTTATACAGCTTTCTAAAAAGTGCTTAATTTTACCTAAAGTATCAAAAGCAGTACATGCACAACAAAAATACAAAGCTAGGCTGTTGTCTACCCAGAAGATTTACATTTCCACAGGTAGAAAAAATAGGCAGGAAACATCACTGTACACAGAAATAAAAAAATAATAATAATAATTTAAGAAAAGAAACAAAAATCCCATCAAAAATCTGGTAGCCAGGGTGCCAAAATATGAAATTTTATTTATTTATTTATTGTTTTACAGTCAATAAATAGGTTCAAACTTTTTCTCTCTGACTTTACTAGATATCTGGATGTCTGTAAAGTAACAGTGAATACATTGCTTACCATTTTCCAGATCTTCATATACATCATTTTTCTTTCAAATGAAAAATATCTGTGAAATAATGATATTTATAGCTGATTTAAATATTATAAAACAGCGAAATTTTAGTGGTGTTTATTTTCAATAACTGTATTTTGCACTACACGTTGGTTCACTAAACAAGCAAGCGTCATTCACAACAAAGGTGCTAATAAGATCTTATAACATCTTGGACTTAGTTCATAGATCCTTAGACTTTGACCTGGTAATTGTTCCATTTTCTCAGGCATTTCAAATTAATATTTAAGACACTGCACAGGGAAAGTAAGGTAATCCCACTTTCTGTCTATGCTTAATCCATGCTCCTCATAAATATCACAGGAGCTGCGGTTTTATTCCTAAAATAAAATCCACATAATCAGGAAATCCTTGGATTAGTTGGGTTTTCTTTTGGTAGGGTCAAAACTACAGTTCGTCTGGTCAATCTCCATGATAATCGGTTAATCTCTGTAAATAATAAAACTGTAGGGTGTCAGCCTTATTATATCATATTCATGTACAGTGGCATTTAATATCATTTTTGTGAGGCTGAAATCATTACTATGCAGATTTCTCTGGTAAATTCACATCATAAATAACAGTATAAAGATCTTAACCTGATTATTTATACTTGGTTGGTTTTCCTCAATAACCCTTTGGTGTAATGGCTCTTGTGACTTAATTATAATATGTAAAGGTGTGAGTTGGAAATACTTGCTTTCACAAATGGTGTGTTTTAATAATGTTTTTATTTTTATTTTACACTGACAGCAGTTTGCATACTGTCTATTTCTATCACTGTAAAAGTTAAACATCCATAAATGTAAATACAGTAAACCACATGATGCAAATGTTTTATAAAATTGAATTGCTGAAACCTTCTGATGGAAACAGGATAATCACATGTACATCAATCCTAGTACAAATGTTTTGAACAGCACATACTGCATTTGTGAATCATTTTTCTTACTCTAATCAACAATTTTTCAAGCTTTGATCCAATCTGACAGCAGAAATCCGATCAAATTACTTCTGACTAGCTCAGATGATGCATTCATGGGGATGTGATGACCAGTTGTGAAGGAAATATTCAGATAATTTAATTATTTAATCGAAAAAAAACTGTGAAAATGACTTTCTTTTATCTCTTATTAGTTTCTGAGACATTGTCATTTAGACAGTATTAGAATTATCCCACATATTTTGATAAATTAAGCTAAAATCACACAGATACCACAGTTAATATCCATAGTTTATAACAGAAAAGTTTCAAGCTAATCAGAGATGGTCGAGCAGAAGACCCCTGATGATTTAAAACAGAATAACCCTCATATGTTTTATTACATCAAATCAAATTTATTCAAATAGCACATTTAGAAAAACCCTGTAGTGCTGCACATGTTCACAGATAGGAAGCAAAAAATGACGAGCAGACGGACAAAATAGAAATATAATAGGCGATATAGCATGTAAATGTATAAACAATATGAAGCCAGTAAAACCAATTGGTCAAATAAAATATTACAAAACACTGAAACAGGCAAAGAAGGATACGAACTATCAAGATCAATTTCTAAAATTAAAATAAATATGAAAAAATCTACTTAATCTAGTCTATTTTATATATAATTTTCTGTTGTCGTCTGTTTTTGTGATTCTGAATTGTTAACTTATCCTCCTACTGGTGTTTTCTTTTTGCAAATTTATAAGAGATTAATCAATGATGCTGTTTCATCAGTCCTGGTTTTATTACATACATAATATGACGTAATGAGGCAGGAACAACTGATCCAACCACGTCAGTTTGCATCGCACCTTCATGCTGCGTACCAGTAAATAAATATGTAATCAACCCACTTCTGGAAGATCTCCTTTGACTTTTCCACGCTGCTGATTTGTCCGTCTGCCATCGAGACTCCAGCGAAGACTTCTGACCTTTTCTTCCATCGTGATCCTCATTGTTGCCGCTTTCTAATCGTGTTAGACTCAGACTCCGGACACAACAGCTTGTTGATTGTAACTGTCTGATAACAGCTCATCCCTCTTCTGCTGTAAACTCTGTGACAGAAAGTGTGATGTATATGTGCAGGTCTACACAAAGGAGGAGCCCAGAAGTGGCTGCATGACAGAATGTACAGTCTGATGCATTTATGTCTTCACGTGCACTTTAAGAAAATGTGTTTACAGCTACAACAGCAGCAGCAGATACTCTGTTGAGGCATCATTTAATGGCTTAATTAAATCTGCCCCAGTTAAAAAATATTGAGTGTCGAATAATCGCATGATAACATTATGGGTCATCGAATGCAGACACACAGATGACTGTATCTTGTGACCATCTGTACATTTAATTATCCGTTCGTATTGTGCAGAAGACACACTAGATAGATGTTTTTTAAATATTGAAACAGGAGATTAATGACACTTGTGGTTCAGCTACATGATGCTGGAGTTTTCTCTGTACTAATTTACTGTTTGTCTAGACAAGTTTTGATTTGTTTTCTAGGCAGAAGAAGGGACGACCAGGACATTCCTCTTTCACGACCTCACATGTAAGCACGGCATCAGATGATGTGTGGGGATGATGTAACCTTCAAACACAGGTTTGTTGTTGGAGTGAGGAGCAGCTGAGCTGTTTGTCTTCGGGCTTTATTGTCTCGACCGCAGAGGAAACGAGGAGACGCTGCAAATGTGACAAGAGACGGACAGACGAATACACAAACTAATACACTTATAACACAGCGACATGAGCAGAGAGAAAAAAACACAAGTTTCTGTCAGCTGCAGGGGAGGAAACCGTCACACTCATCATCACATGCACTCACACGTGGACACGTTTTTTTCTTTTTGCTTTTTGCTTGATAATAAGTTCAATCCTCGAGTGAAGGATTCGATAATTCTGGGTTGTGATCTGCTCATGTTACTTTTAAATCTAGTTTTGGGAAATTTGAAACATGCCGAACAGAAAAGAAATGGTTTCGCTGCATGAGTGGTAAGAAAAGTTAAAGGCAGAATGGTTTACTGCATCTGACATAAATCCAACGTGAACACAGCTGCTGTTGTCTAGTCGATATCTAGCAATCAGTACATGGTGGAGTTCCACCTAAAAGCATTTTCTATATTACCAATGAGCCATGTTACTGATGAACCCACAGGAAATAATCACTCTGAATTTTCCCTCAGCTTCACAGAGCATTACAGCAACGTTCAACTCACTGATTTAAATTTTCCTGGTTGCAGCTTTATTGTTTTGAGAGCCACATCTTTCCCCCAGGAGTACACAGTGTCCATGTTGTATTTGGAGCTTGTTGCACAGCCCCCGTGTGGCTAGAAAATCACTGCTTGCAGGTTTAAAACATTGACAGCATAATGACGTCAACCATAGTTTCCTGAATAGTGGGTTTGAAGCTCCATGTTGAGGCAATTTGCAGTCAAGTAATGGGAGCTAAGTCAGAAGACAAAGCTTTTGATTTACCAGTCAGTCTATGTTCAAACCTTCATCTATGGTCATGAGCTCTGGCTGGTGGCTGATGGAATGAGATCACGGATACAAGCTTCTGAAACGTAGAGTGGCTCAGCCTTGGAGGTCGGAGGAGGAGCTTGGACATCCAGAGGGTGCGTCTGTCGAAAGGGGTAAGTTGAGGTGGTTCAGGCAGTGTTGGCTCCTGGAGTGAACCCATAGCTCACATGAGGAACTGCACATCTAACCTGACCTGGGAACATCTCAGAATGCTCCAGGAGAAGCTGAAAGAAGTTGTAGGGAAGAGGGAGGGAGGGAGGGATGGATGGATGGATGGATGGATGGATGGATGGATGGATGGATGGATGGATGTGGTAGTGTTGTGTACTTTGCGGGACAGTTAGCCAAGTTAAATAAAAGACTTTCAGAATCTGGCTTATGTTTGAGATTATGTTGAATAATTACATTTTGACCTGATATACCAACCAGTTAGGTAAAAACAATGACATGTAAGAGATTGGGCTCCATCACAACAGAAGACCTGGACAAAAGGGATGGTTGCTGTGTTATAGAAACTGCTCCAAAAGAAGCCATCAAAGCCAGTAGATGTTTGAGAAAGGTCAGATTGCATTATCCCTGACCATAAAGTCATACTTACATATTTACAACACCAGGAGAAGGGATGTAAACTTGCAATTAAAACCATAAGGGCGTGGATATAAACTAAGGTACAAACTCAAAATCAGTGTCTGTGTTCAGGAAATAGCCTTGGTGTTATGTTAAATTAACAGTAGATTTATTTACCTCACTCTGTTGTTTTGGTGCTTATTGAGTTTAAATGGCAAAAAAAAAAAAAACCTTTGTAGTTTAATGGTAGTTAAAAGTGATGTGGAAGACTTGAAGATTCGTGGCCCACTGAAGAAGTTTTTCCACATCTCTGGTCATCGGCATCTTGGAACAACTGCTATTCCAAAAACAAACAAAGAGATGGAGCATGAATGGAGGTGAGACTGTCCTATGATGGCACTTTTAACAGGTCAGATCTGTAAAACATTTGCCCCGTGCAGTTTTCGTGAATGGAAAAATTAGCTTTAAAGACCAAAACTGTTGTTCATACCAGGCTGCAGACGTGTTTATTTCTGCTGTAAAGTTTGACAGTTTAACATGGAAGTCTATGAGGGTTGACTCACTTTTGGGGTGAACCTCAAGTGGACATTCGAGGAACTGCAGGTCGTTTGCTTCGTTTTCAGCTCCTGAGGTTTCTGTTTGGTCTAAACGTGTCCCTGATCTCCAAGTCTAATTAAACGATCTGTTAAAGAAGCAGAAAAAGAAAAACAAAAGAAACACAATCCAAGCACATAAAGTTCACATGTCCTTGTGAGACACACGCGTCCACCAACATGTGCTTTTAAATGCATCTCGACTTGGTGTTGGAGCTGGAAACAGGCCTCTGAAGACGCCCTCCTGGAACTGGGACATCCTCGACTACAATCAGTTTCACCATCTAGCCCCTGCAGTCTCCGGCTCTTCCATCTCTCTGATCAGAGCATCTCTATCAGCTAAATCATCTTCATTAAAAACCGGTCACGCCTCCCTAAATCTAATGAGTTCGCCACAGTGAGCAACTGTATGATGAACAAATGTCTCTCTCTCTCCCCTCCTGATCTTTCCCCTCTGTCCTTCTCCTCTCTGAAGACAAGGAGCTTTTTGTACAAAAGGGAAATCATAGGACTCACATGCTTTGGAAGAGAGAAAGTGAGTGATCACAGCGAAAGATAGGGTTTGTTCAGAAGAGAGGAAACAAGGCAGGGAAGTGGACTGAGGTCGCTTTGAGCCGGACGAGGACTTCAGAACCGGACGGCTGTGGGAGAACTTGAGCGGAGCGGGCCGAGCGGGACTACCTGAACATGGAGAATGGACAGACGGACACAGAGGAGAAGACGGAGGACATGTCGGAAGGTAAAATAGGAGTTAAAGGACATGAACTGTGACTTTTGGAGATGCTCTCAGGCTAGAGTTCTCCAGCTGTTGCTCTAGTTATGAACCAGGTCATTAGTACCTCCATTAATTGATTGTTTAGTCGATAAAATATAAAGAAAAATACAAAATCTGATGAGCAGACAGCGCTCTTATTTGAGTCAAGTAGTGGACGTTGTGTGGAATTCACACGATTCTACACGTGATCCTTCAGCGGTTCCACATCAGTCGTTTCTTTAAATCTGAAAACTGCAGAACTCATTTATAAAAGCTGTAACCTAAAAAAAAAAAAAAGTCTTCCAGCCAAACGGCTACGAGACACCGAATCGTACCATTTGCAATGAAAATTGATTTTTCCGCTTCTTGGGAGAAAAGAACAGCGAATAATTTGGCAAAACAGGATTTGGGGAAACGGGCCGAGACCAAACGTCGCCGCTGATACCAACACTGACATTTGATAATTGCAAAAGTCCAACAACAATAGATCAGGTGACACTGGCGAACATTTTAGTTGATGCTCTTTCACACATTACACATTAATCTGGACATTTTACAGTTGAAAAGCAAACAGCAGCGCCCTCTTGTGGGCACTTTCCACGAAAGACATCGTGGCAGAAAAACCACTGATGTTGTTAAAGATGGCTCCGTTTCATTGAGCGTCTCGGGAAGCCATGACGGTCGGCCCGCATGTGCAGCAGCAGGAACCTGGACCTGGCTTAGCTAAACGGGATGCAGCCGATTCTGACGCTGTCGGTTACTCCTGTTGCCTCCTGAGAGAAGGTGTTTTATTTTAACTCTAGATTATGCCTTTGACATTTCAGCCTGCATCAGTCGAGCTGTAGTTTAACTTTAAACCTTAATTTTGCAGGAAGAAATCAAATAAATTGGCCTTATTTTAGCGTACTTATTCTATGTCGGTAACGCTTTGTACTTATTTTATTGTGTTGTGTTACGAGCCCTGCATTTCTTACCTTAGGTTATTGTGGTTTTTAAAGCCAGGAAGTTCATTCAGGATTAATAAAGTTTGACTTTTTCTTCTTTCATCTTCAAAAACATGACTGACGACACAGAAAACGAACCCTTTCATTAGACATCCAGAGCGTCACCACATGCAATAGCAAACATCAGGAACATCATGTGTTTTTCTGTAAACGCTTGCTAATTGCAATGATTTAAATTTTTGTTTTTTTGTGGGCTGGAACTTTGAGGCCATTCTGGCACAGCAGCTTGACATCTCGATGCCTTCGTCCCTCCGGCCTCCAGCAGCCGAAGCACAAATCTGAGCTGCCGGAGGAGATCGGAGCCGCTGTGTGCTCCTGCAGACAGAAGGACTCTGTTCTTTGACGTTGCTTATTCCCTCTTTTGGCTCATTCACCAGCTTGGAAATGCTTCGCGGCGCGGTGACCCCTGTGGGCCCCGTCAGTTATGCATGATAATATATGTAAAGTGCGTATTTCTGACGACCCTTCTGCAGTTTTAATGGCAGCTTTCGGCCGGTGGCATTTCCACGACAGACAGAGGCATTGTGCGTTTATGCAACTGTCCCCCAAAGTGATGCATCTAAAAGAAAAATCCATCATAAATCCTACTTTCCTTATGCGTCATTTTAACACTAAAATCATTTTGTGAAGTCGCTCAGAGCTCCAGCAGCTTTAAATCTGCACAAACACTTGCTCCCCTTACAGTTATTACACACAAAGATTTGCTTTAAAGGCCAAGACGAGGACTAAAAATGACTTTACTGCTGGTTGGACGAACCTCTTCTCTGAGAGGTTTGCGTTCACACGACTGCAGAAACACACTCCTGCTGTCCTTGAACTGTCCTGACCTCAACTTCTGCGGCATAAAATATTCGTCATGGGCGCTGCGACGAATGTTTTGCACATCACACACAGACACACACTCCGTCACGTATTACTCAGCTCCGATAAACATCTGAACTATGCGTGATAACTGAACACGTGCCCTCACTTTGCTGCGATTAAGTTTCAAAAGGACGGGAAGTTTATAACGCTGCGCTCAAAGCTGCAAAAAGATGAAAATGTCTCTTGTTTTTCTGCTGTTTTGGGTTTAAAGTGTAGACGTCAGCACCAACAACTGACTTTAAAAGTGAAATTTGAATTGAGGAGCTTTTCCAGACAAAAACGAGCATTTCCAGCCTTTAAAACTGCATTTTATGATACGAGAAAATTGGAAATTAGCTTAATTTACTGAGACAGAAATCATGAGGAGGCCACTGTTCTGATAAATATAGTTTATAAAAATATCTTAAGAGATTCTAGTACCGTGAAAAAAAAAAAAGAAGATCCTTTTCATTTATTTATTTTTAGCAAGAATTATCAACGCTGCAATAAAATAAATGCTTCAAACATCTCTGTGATGCTCTTTGGTTCTTGTGATGTTATGTAAAAGGAATACATGTTCTAAATTATGTGAATCTTCAAATATAATCTTCTGTGAAAACCTAAAATAGTAAATAAAGAAGAATTCAGTGAGTAAAGTTTTCTCAGCGAGCTTCGTTGTTGCTGCACTTTCATATTTCATGTTTTAGGTAATCATATAATCAAATCAGTTTATTGGATGTCTGCGTGGATGCTTATTTTGTAATTTTTTTCCCTCCAGATGCAGAAAAAAACGTAGAAGAAGCTGGACTGGAGATTGCTCAGGTAATCAGGAACCTCGTATTACTAATAACTACTAGTTTATCTAAATTACTGATAAAATAAATGAAGCATTTTTGCACTCTGTCAACCAAACTTTGCCTCCATCTGTCAGGAGCAGAGCTGCACTGAAACCTTTAATGACATTTCAGAAGGTTTTTGTTTGGACTTGGCTGCTCTGAAGCGACTTCGTGCCAACATTTATTACTTATTTATGATTGAAGTCAGATCTGATCTTCTCTGGATCGCCGGCAAACATTCAGGTCAAACGTCACAGAAAGGTTGTTGTGGTCATGTGAGAGGTTCTCTGGTCAGTTATTCTGTCCTCCTGAATAAAAGAGCAGATGTTTTAATAATATGTAATCACCATAGCTGAGCATTTACAGCTTGAAACTGCAGTTTACTGATGACATAAAACACAGATTCAGACTTTTGTGGTTTCGTAACAAACTAAAGAAACCAAACGTCTCAACCTGCAGGGTGCAACTTCTGGATCATTAACCTTCTTCAAAACCAGATTACAGCTTCAACATGAGTGCCTGAATTATTCCAGTGTTACCAGACGTGTAGTTTTACAGTGTCACATGTGAGCTGGTGTGCTCAAGCTGCAGCAAGTCATGGAGATTTGGGTGAAAATCGAGGCGAAGATCTGCAAAGTCTAAAAGAAGCAATGGTGAAAAAAAGGAAAAAGTTAAACCAGTTTAAGGCAGGAAGGGAGTATTTTCATGCAAACAACTTGTAAATATGCAACTAATATGCAAAATGTGCAAAATTTAGTTTGATCAACAACCGGAGAGGGACTTTAAAACTCGTCTGTGAAGATTCTCAGTCATCCAGGTCGTGGTTCTTCTGGTAGATTAATCAACTGGACTTGCTTGAGTTCCTTGAAGACGTTTCATCCAAGAGGCTTCATCAGCTCTGACTGACTAGTTGGGAGTTCCAGATACTTCTATCCTTAAGGAGCCATTAACACCTGAGTTTCAGTTTCAATTAAGGATTTAATATTAAGGATATCTGGAACTCCCAACTAGTCAGTCAGAGCTGATGAAGCCTCTTGGATGAAACGTCTTCAAGGAACTCAAGCAGGTCCAGTTGCTACGATTAATCCAGGAGAAGGACTTTAAAACTCGCTGTGCCTCAGAATATGTAATTTACAGTATATTTACTGAAGCACTTGGGCAGAGATTTCTTTAATTCACGGTCAGATTAATGCAATAAACTCTGCAGACAATGAAAGACAGCATCATATCAGGTATTAAATGTGTTACGAATGCAGCGTCCAGGTTCTTCTCATCAGAGCGCAGTTCATCTTTCTCGGTTCCAGTTTGCTCAGATCTCATGACGTTTGATCAACAGATCTATACGACCAACAGTGAGTTCATGCTCAAGTTAGAACATTTGCAAAAGATTTTCAGGCAAAATCTTTGTGCTGTGCTGACAAAAAGTGGATTAGTGGGACGTGTTTTGGCCTTTTAGCTTTTAGATAAATCATACCTCACAAGACCTTCCAAAAGGAAACAGCAAAACTCAGGGTCTCCTGGGTGGAGGGCACCAAAGAGGATTTATAACAAACACAGGAGCCAGTAGACGGAAGGCCACCCAGCTGGCCGAAGAGGCTGCAGGAGCTGATTCAAGCGCTTCCTGGACACGAGTCGAGGTTTCAACAATCCTTGGGAGACCAGAAACACCCGGAGACTCCAGGAGACATCACAAACAATGTGTTTAGGTGCATGTAGATGTTGTACGTTAAAGGTTTCTTTAAAATTACGCCTCACTAAGGTCGCTTGAGTTCACATATTGTGCAGCTTTCACTTCCTCATGAACACAAACTCTCGTATAAACATGTTTAAAAGGAGCTGGATGCGGTTCCTCGTATCCGACGTGCAGCCTCCAGGTGACCAGCAGCACCGTCGGCCATCAGACCAACGAGGAGGAGCAGCAGCCAGACAGGACAGACGCTCCATTGAGCCTCCTGCCTGATGCCTTTCACATGACCGAGAGAGCGAGCACGACGGAGAGATGGAAAGATAGGACGAGGAGGAAAGAAGCGCTCGGCCCATGTAATGTTCCCATGAGCTGATTCAGTTATCCCCGCTAAATAAATTCAATCAGCGATGCATGAGAAAACTCTGAGCGGAGCTTCAGAGGGACAGGAAGGTGGAGGGAGATACATTTCTTAGAAAATATTATCGGGGAAGAGTGAGAGGTGAACGGGAGTCGAGAAGATGGAAATGAAGATGCTCGGAAACCAAGAAATGCCCAGAAAGAGCAACAAGACCTGAAAAACTGGAACTAAAGCATCAAAAAGAGAGATTTAGAAACACTAAGAGTTATAAAAACAGAGAACAAAAAGCTCTGCACGTGTAAAAACAGTAAAATAGAATCTAAACAAGCTCATATAGTGACTTCAAGGACATAAAATAGCAAGAAAAAGTCTGACCTGGACAGGATTTCAATACGTTTACAGATCATTTCGAAGGCTTTGCGCTCAGTCTTTGCCCTTTAGGTAAATAACTGAATGGAATGAGGGGATTTTAAGAAGCCGAAGCACCAGAACTTGTGACTTTTGGGTGCAGAAAAACCCTCACAAGAATCATTATTTGCAAAGAAAATCCCCCAAAATATGGAACTTAAAAGAAGAGTAAAGAAATAGCCTACAGGTAGTGAGTGGAGCGCATCAACAAAACAGAATGCATGAATACTGAGCTTCTGTTAGAGAAGCGTTGGGCTGAAAACGTGACGCTCTGAACGGCTCCTTGTGATGCAGCTGCAGGGCCTGGTGGCGGAGCTGCGCGAGGGGCTCCAGGCCGCTCTGACCGAGCTGTGCGAGCTCCGCCTGAGGGACCACGGTCTGGAGGAGAAGCTGCAGGCCCACCAGACCGACGTGGACGACAAGATAATGGGCCTCAAGAACTCACTCAACACATTCAAGGTGATGGAAAAACACAGCAAACACACACACACAGGCTGAGTCTATTCTGGGGAGGTTCAGAGGCCTCAGTGGCATAATTCAGACCATCTGACTGTAATTTAATCTGTCAGACAGGAAGGCAGCAGCAGCAGATTGAATACTGACAGGCATGCTGTGGGATTTATCTGCACACGGACACACAGCAGCTTTATTAACCTACAAACAAGTGATTTACTCACATACGTCAGCCGGAGTCTTTAACTTCTGCATCACATGTTGGAACAGAAATGTGAGATTTCAACAGATATACATGCAGAAATACACACAGATTTGTGCTAAATTACAATTATTATTTATTAAATCACTGAAAAAAGTATGAATTTACATGTTGACATAATGTCTGTATTTTCACAAACAGCTATATTTTGTTGTCACTATGTGTGATCGTACAATTAAACTGTTTTACTGTATTTAAATCAACAAAATATATATTTTTACACTATTATACGGAAGAAATTTTTATATATTAAGAGTTAAAATAATAGTGGAAATATATTGTTAGCAGATATTTTCTGTTGTGTTAAATTACAGAAAATATCTAATAAAAAATAAAAATAAAAAACATAAAAAATTAATTTTAATAATCTGGGGAAAAAATGCTTTTTTACAAATACTAATTCGGTTTCTGTCGGTTTTGTTTTTGCGATCAGTCACTAAAAAAATGACACCGTGTCATTGTTTGTTGATGTATTTTTTGTTATTTGAAATAAATTTAATAAGATATTTTAAAAATACGATATTTTATGAATTTAAAAAGAATTTAAAAATATGTTATTTTACAGATAATATCTAGTAAATGTCGACTGTAAAAGAAAGAAAGAAAGAAAGAAAGAAAGAAAGACAGAAAGACAGAAAGAAAGAAAAAAGAAGAGACTAAAACTGTACATAAATTCCACTGTTTCATTGTATTTAAAGCAGCTAAAAGTCGTGATAATTTTGCAAATATTTCTCTTTATTTTCAGTTTCTACAGTTTGTAGACATGATAGTCTCACAATGTTTGTGTGTTTTTGGTACTCTTGCTGCCAGATTTCATCATTTGTATTTACAGATGCTTCGTATCGTGGAGGTTGCTGCACCAACACCAGAACACATCTATAATAAAAACACGATTGACTAAAGAACCCATCTGGTTCAACAGTGACTAAAATGGATGCAGCATGTTGTGCTTCATTTCTGCTGCATCATTTTAAAAAGAAATTTACCCTCTGATTTAGAGTTCTGATTGGACGAAAGTAAACAGTTTTCTCAAATCTTCAAATCAGAGTTCAAGCTTGTTCAGTTTGGCCTTTGAATGCTGCAGATGTTACAGACTGAATTTGGGAAAGTTTTTTTTAAAGAAGTTTGTAAAAACTGCCTCGAGCTTTAAGACTTAAAACTGTTTCTTGGTGAAACGTGGCTGCAGGAGGAGCTGAACGTGGCCTTGTTCCACATTAAGGACGTCGCCAGCCGACAGAGAGACGTGCAGAGGAGGATAGAGCTGCTGCAGTCAGAAAACTACAAAGATGTCATCTCTGCTCCACACAGGTAGAGACAAACACATGGAACAACCATATATACAGATACACGTCTTTATTTATGATCTGTAGCTCAGAGACACATCATCATCACACAACAAACAAGTTCTTTCTTCTCTTCCTCCGACCACGACAGCAGAAAAGGCTCCAAGGCCGACGTGCTGACGACAGCCGGGGACGAGCACATCTGTACGCCCAGCCAATCAGAGCTCAGCGTCATCCAGCACTTCTTCTCCAACCTGCCGCACAGCGTGTCTCCACAGAGGAGCAGCACCTCCACACAGAGTGAGGCCGAGTTATGTTCACCTGCTGAGCTGAAGAGGTGTTAAAGTCCTGCAGGAGTCATTTACTCACGTTTGTGTTGCAGCGTCCAGCTCTGAGCAGGACGCTCAGCAGCAGCAGCAGAGAGGTTGTCCGTCCAGATCTCCGGTGTGGGGGGACAGAAACAACGGCAGAGAAGAGACAGAGACGCCCAACAGCCAACCTGAAAACAGTGAGAAACACACTCATACCAAAGTCTGAAGACCCTCGACTGCAGCTTCATACACGTTCATGCATTAAAGGAATTTTTTCACATAATTGTAAAGCTTTGATCAGAAGTTAATGAGCTCAGATTAGCTTAAAGAGAAGAAACAGCTTCTAAACGGTGACAAAGTTCACCAGCAGTGTAAAAAAATTAAATAAATTTCATTCAATTGCAGATAACAACTAGTAAAATCACAAAAAAGCTATTAATTCACATGTTAACTGTAAAGAAATACCTGTAAACAACGTCCACATCAAACATCTGCAGCTTTTACAAACAGTTATTTGTACTTTTATGATATTTGACTGTAAATTACACCGTCCTTTACTGCATTTAAATCAGAAAAATAACATTATTTTATAGATATTTGCCACTAATTAAAAAATACAGATACAGAATTTACAGATTTTGACTGGATTGTTAAATTACTGATAACAGCTCGAAAAATCACAGAAAAAAAAGTGTTAATTTGCATGTTGGCTGTGAAAAAAAAGCATAAATTATGTTATTGTATATCAGCTGAAAATATTATTTGGCATATTTCATTTTTTTTGTTTTTGCAGTTTTTGAACTTTACATTGTTCTAACAGTTTAACAGGTTTTTTTCTGGTACTCTGTCTGCCACATTGTTCATTTTATTTTATTTTTAATTTAATTTTATTGTATTTTATGAACATGTCCTCGTACCTGTGACGCTCACTGATGAACACATGAAGTCTTGTTCTTGGACTTCTGTCGTCACTGTGAACAAACTCAGCTTCAAACCACCAGCTGTCCTTTTAAACCTTAAACTATCTCAACTTGTACTTCTCAAAGTCTCCTTCTATTCCTTCAAATTTTGGACACTCAACATATAAAACTGTGCTTGTAGTAAAAACTGAATTTTGGTCACCACAGATGACAAAGAGCCAACACCAGAGGGCAGAGCTGCTTCCTGCTGTTAACAAACCAACTTTGTAGCTTCAGAATAAAGCAGATTTCCTGAGAAAATCTGGCTTTTTACCTCATTAACACGCCGATATGGACAAATTAAGACGTCAATTTTGATTTTTTTCTCTCTTGAAACTGCAGCATACTGATGACAGCCTCAAAAACGTGGATTTCTAACATTTCATACATAACAAATCCAAAGAACCGATCCTGTTAACTGCTTCATTATTCTTCTTCAGGTGCCAATTACAACTTGTGTAGCTATAGAGGAGCTTTACAGTGTTTGAGCAGAGCTGTAGGTGAGCTGGTGTGCTCGAACTGCGAGAAGAAAGGGTAGATCTGCACTTTGTAGAGTAGTTAGAAGTTACATCTAAGCCATTTTAAGGCAGGACAGGATTGTTTTTATGACAGAAAAGCGTCTAAATATGTAACGTTGACGCACAGAGACGAGTTTTCAGGGTTGAAGTGTGACTGGAGACGCTGTAAAATTCAGAATATTGTGTTTCGTGTTGCAGATAAGAGGCAGAGAGCGGCGCTGGAGCTGCTGGAGTCAGAGAGAGTCTACGTGTCTCATCTGTCTCTGCTGCTGAAGGCCAACATCTCCTTCAACGGATCAGAAGCTCTCACCACCAAGGACAAACGGTAAACCTGTTCACACAAAAGATCACATCTCATGGACGTCCAACCTTTTCATACTTAAACAACGTCTACATTCAAGACGGCAGACACACATCAGAAGGAAAGCAGAACTTAGGAGCTCCTCACACGTCAGCAGAACATCTTCCAGGAGATTCTGCTGATCTAATTTAGTTCTTACAGTGAGGAGGAGAAGGGGAAATAAATAAATCAAATAAAAGCAGGTTATAAACGCCAGCGGGACACACAAGACGGTCTTTTTAAAGAGACTCTGCTCGTTAATGTAATGAGCGCTGAGCTGCAGCACACGTGTTCCCAATGACCAGAAAGTCCAGCAGCTGAACCGGGCCCAGTGGTATCTGTGAATAACTGCATTTATCTTAACCTGCTTAAGCCTCTGCCAGATGCCCGTCACACCGACCGGCAGAATGTTTAGCATGCAGCGTGTTGGAACGAACACGAAGGACGTTTGAGGCAATATTTGGTTTTAAAATCACACCTGGAAGCTGAAAATGATCCACAAAGAGGCTTGATTTCATAGAATAACTGACTGTAGCCACGAATAACTGCATTTAAACATGTGAAGTGTTGCTAGATTTCATAAAAGTGTGTGTACTGCGTTAACATCATTTCATGTGATGTGATTTTTCTTTACTAATTGACCCGTCCTCTGTGTGTTCAGTCCGTTTCCCAGCTCTCTGAGGTTTCTGATCCAGCAGCACCTGGAGCTGCTCCACACTCTGCAGGAACGTGTGCTCAAGTGCCAGTGGCAAGGCATCATGGGAGATGTGTTCATGAGGCTCACCAGCAAAGAGGTGACGTATAAAAACTGCAGTGCATTTCACGTCTTAGCCCTGATTACTGGTCAGAAATTTTAAGCATCATGGTTGAATGTGGGGCTGCAAGGTGGCTCGGTGGTTAACACCCAGGATCTTTCTGTGTGGAGTCTCCATGTTCTCCCCGTGCAGCGTGGGTTCTCTCCGGGTTCTCTGTCTTCCTCCCACAGTCCAGAAACATGTTGAGCATCTTCATGGAAAAAAAAACAGATTAAAAAGAATTCTGGGCCTCCAGTTTTCTCGCCTTTAATCTAAAATCTTACGACAGTTCAACACTCAGTGGAGCTCCGGGAAAGTTAATCCGTGGAGGTCAAACGATTCGGCCTTGTGACGCGACCTTTACAATGAATCCGACTCACTCTGGCAGCAGTGACGGCGTTAAAGGAAATGTCACATTCCAGCGGAGCCACGTCGAGAGCTGCATCACAGATTTACTACAAAGACAACAGTGATTAGACGATGGCTGCTGGCAAAAAAAAAAGGAGTCTGGACTTTGGTTGACAAAATCACAACACAAACATGAGACTTAAACCAACACTGGTGATGCTTATGTGAAAGATTTGGGTGATAAGATAAAAAATCCTTTGGTGCAGGTGGCGGCAAAAATCCAACCGAAAGCCGAAAACAGGCTTAAAGCGCTGAAGCTAACGAGTCAATTCAATTAAAGTCAATGTGTCGCTAATTGGCTCTGAGTGAGCGGGAGGAAATGCAGTAATAGGTAAGAACACCTAGCTGTTTAAGAAAAATTAAAGGCAGATGGTTCACGGAGCATTATGGGACCTCACTTAGAGATGGCCACAGGAATAGAAAAAGAAAAGAAACCTATAGACGATAATCCAGGTTTTTAACCTTTAATGAATCTGATGTTAAAGTGCAAAATTATTCAAACTGTCCAAATACTTATAAACCAGACTGTATTTCTGATAACAAAGTCTCTTCTCAGCAAAACACAAGACAGTGGATCTAGTTTAAAGATGCGTTTCTATCCACACACTGGTCACATGTTGGCAACAAACTGAGAGTAAAACAACTAATCAGACGGTGACATCAGGACATTCAGGGGAACATATATGTGTTTGTGGGACATGAGCTCATCCAGAACATGTAAACCTGGACAGTGTTTCTCTTTGTGTCGCCCTCCAGAGCGATTTCTTGGACTTCTACGTGTCCTACCTGAAGGAGCTTCCAGACTGCCTGGCGGTCGTCACCATGCTCGCCTCCAGCTCCGTCAAGTCTTCTGCCTTCGTGGAGGTAAAACAGAATCTGGTCGCCTCGTTAGACGCTAAAGGTTCATTTCAAGCCTTGTTGGTGTATGTTAGCTTCAAACACAGCTGGATAAAGTGATGTTTCTCACACCTGCTGTGCTAACTGCCTCTATCCTGATTGGTCCACCTGTGCTGCTGTCAGAGCGACATCCTGGGCGACGAATCCAAACCGTCCCTCCACACTTTGCTCCTTCAGCCGGTCCAGAGGATCCCTGAGTATCTGCTGCTGCTACAGGTCAGATCAACAGTTCAGATAAAGACTTTTACTCAGGAGGAAACATTATTTAATTTCCCTATTTCAAACCAAACTTTACAAATTTTACTATATTAGCAAATATCACACATGGTAATAATTGACTTTCTGCTTCTTTTTTAAAAAAACTAAATAAACTTTGAGATTGTACAGAAACAAACCTGATCGATACACTGAAATGAAATAAAAAGACATTGAACATCTCATTGAGGCTGAAAACTGAAGGCTGCATCACCTCTATGACTGTACATTTTCTGTATCTGTGCATACAGGGGCTGCTCAGGCAGACAGATGCAGATCATCCAGACTACTACCTGCTGCTGGTTTGCGTCCAGCAGTTCAGGTCCTTCACGGCTCAGTATCACCACCTGCTGCAGCACAACCAGGAGCTGCTGCTGCTCAACCGCAAGGAGGTGAAGAGGTCAGAGAAACAAACACAACACTGCAGCTCGTAATAAATAATAGAAAGTTTAAATTAGAACCCGTGTGAAGACGCTGTATGTTGGTCACTGCAGGTCCACCATGAAACAGCTGCTGAAGACCGTAGAGAGTGGAGTCCAAGGAAACAACATCGGCTCACCGTACCCCTGCAGCAGCGCAATGCTGTGAGTATAAAGTCTGCAGCCCACCAGCAGCTCTCTCCTTCATCTGTGTGTCGGTTTTTATAGCTGCATTGATTACTTTTGGCAACCTGGAGGCAGAACAACACACCAAGCTAACAGACACACAACCCTGATGGATTATTGCCTCATCAAATTGTTATGGCTGACATGTTAGAAAGTAATCACCTATAAGACAACAATCACTTTTGTTCTAGCTCTGTTTTGGTCTCTGTCTTTATATTTACAGCTAATATCTAACTTTGTGTGTCCGTTATGACACCCAGCAGGCTGGACAAAGTTGTTTTCTGCTGCTGTAAATAAGGTTTATGAATGTTTCCTTTACTACAGCGATCATGCTAACCAAGTGAAGCGCAGAAAACAGTGTCTTCTGGAGCAGATTCAGTCCCACCGTTTCCAGGACTGGGATCGAGACCAAGATCCTGAAGCTCATTGTTACGACACAGAGTGGCCCTCACAGCTGCCACTCTTCAGCCCCGATCTGGACTCAAGGAACCACAAACCAACAGGTCTGTGATCGCTGATGCTTATGTGTATGAAACAAATTCATGCAGCAGTTTGCAATTACTTTGGAGGCAGGAACGTAGGCAGGGTTGAAATGTCTTTTTCATGCTTTCCATAGCTACTAGTACTTACAGTGTGAGGTGAGAGGCAAGTTTGGTCTACACCATTACCTACCCTGGTGTAGGAAGGCCTGCTCAGGCGCTGCATCTTGAGGAACAATAAAAACCCAACTCAAGTCATCAGTCCCTTCTGAGGGCGGTAGAGTGGGTTGTCCACAAATAGCAAGGTTGGTGGTTTGATCCCGAGCCCCTCCACATGCTGAAGTATTCTTGGGCAGGAAACTTAACCTAAAGTTGCCGCCACTGTTGTGTGAACATTGGAAAGTGAGTTTCACAAAGGCAGAAAAGCTTTAAGCTAGGGCAGACGATTTACCATTAGGTTAGAAGCCTCAACATCTTGGGCTTGCGAGACTAGATACACTTAGTGTCTTGGCATCCCTGTATATGTCCCACATCTCTGGGCTTTGAAGACTCAATTGTTTGTCCAATGCAACCAGTGTCACTTAAATGCATTCGGGATGATTCTTTCATCAGTTAACCAACTAACCAACCCTCCAGGTCTTGGCATCATCCCAGAGAGTGAGGCGTCTGACAGGTCCATGTCCTGCCAGCATCATCTTTCCTCCAGACCTGCAGAGTTTCGTCAGGTTCAGCCGGGCTCCGCTCTGGCCGACGCCCTCGGAGAGTTCCTCCTTCCTCCAGACCCTCCGGGGATGGAGAGTCTCTACGAGGAGGACGGAGGCTCCCTTCACGATGCATCTTTGTTCGACCACTGCTCGTCCGCCTCTTCGGATTCCTCCATTGACATTGCCTTTGTGAAGTGCCCCAAAGCCCCCTTGGCGTCGCATCACGCGGTCGCAGCGAACGTGTCGACGACCCGCGACGTCTTTGGTAACGGTGGAAGCCAAGGGAACGGGTACAGCAAGCTCCCCAACCGGGGCTGCGTGTCTCCGGATGAAGCTGTGATGATGCGCCGCTATCAGCATCGCCCCCTTCAAGCCAGCCAGCGTAAGAGCAAGGTGAGCAGATGTAGAAACACATACTCTAGAAGTGCTATTACATGTATAAAAACCAACTCGTACATCTTCTCTGCTGTTTAGTCGCTGAATGGGCTGCAGCTTGAGAACACAGTGAACGATAGCGGCCCTCTATCGGACCACCTCCAAAGGGTGGGACTGGGCAGCCATGCCAAGCTGGAGCGCCAGGGCAGTAAGGGCAGCAAAGGAAGTTCCACCCCGTCGCGAAAGGTCCAAACCCCCCTGACGAACCGAGTGGATACCGACAAACAGAACCCAGATCTACACGGGCTGCTCAGCATTGTGGGTTTCTGCAAAGATGTGAACAATTTAATGTCTTGGACACTCGTACCCAGACAAATTTAAGAAATACTCTTAATCCTCTTCTAAGTGACCTCTCTTTCTTTTCTCATTAACTCAAATAAATGCAATACTGTCTTCACCAGGACTCTGGGATCCAGTCATGGGGCGATGAGTCAAAATGGAGGACCGGAACGGAGGAGAACAACCACACCCAGTTCAGTGAGAGGAGTCGCAAGGACAAAGGAGGCTTCAGGAGCTCTTTCAAGAAGCTCTTCAAGAAGAAGTAAGAATCTAACATGGAAATATTGCACATGAATGGCTCGATACTGCAGATAAAAGTGAGCAAGAATGGCAACAAGAGGGCAAAACTGAAAGAAAAGCATCTCTGACACGTCGGAAAAGCTTTTCATTTGACGCAGCAACTTTTTGCATTAGAGTTTCAGATAAAACTACAAAAATGGCTCCTAACTTTGACACGAAACATAAAAATCCACTCTTGCTCTGTTTTTCCGACAGGACCGGCGATGACAAGAAGGACAAGGGAGGTGAGAAAACACCAGAACACCAAAACAACGGCGATCACGAGAAAAGTTCCAAAGCGGCACATCTGGACATAAACCGCGGAACAGCTGTGTGAATAAACAAAACAAACAAATATGCAATAAAATACAAACATTTCAACGTACAAACTAATAAGTATAAATGCTGTATAGATGCTGTACAGGTATAAGCTACTGAGCTCAGCAACTCTTCCTCTGAATGTGTATAAATGTGATTTTTATTGGAGAAACAAAAATCCTGCCCCTGACCTTCTCACTGAGGGAAAGCACTTGATATGTTAGATTGTTTTTTTTTTTTAATTGGTTGAATTTTTGCTTGTAATCAGTGTTATTTTGCCAATTTAGTCATAATTTTAATTGACTTCCTGCCACTTATAAGAGAATAAACCTTTTTTAATCATTTAACATGTAAATATATGATTACACTTGACCACTAGAGGGCGCATTCATCCCGACACTGTAGATATTCCTGCTTTCTTTCTGTTTTCTCAAAGATTTCCAGGAAACTAACCCATTTCTTCTCCTTTCCGTCCCTTTGTGAAGTTGTTTGCACTCTAACTTTTAAATCTGTGCAAACTTTAAACGGAGCCCTTTTCACTCCAGCTTCCACTTTTCCATTTTGTCGCGTATACTCAGGAGGACGTGTGATTCGTGTACGTTTATTTTGTTTAAACACTGAAACGGTGATTATTTCTATGCACTGAACTGTTTTGTCGAGCGAGAGGAATGTGACGATGTTCAATAAAAAGCTAAACACTGAGTATTTGTTCTGTGGCTCAGCTGCTTGGTTTTTAAAACACTACAAGGATCCATTATTCATTATCGTGTTTATTCCCTCGAGCCTCTAGATGCTGTGTGTTCTTGTTCTCTATGAGGAGACGGGTGGTCGCACCACTTAAAAGGATCAACGTTGTCTTTTTTGTCTTGTTAACTATCATCATTTTGAAGACTTAGACAAATTCATGTTAACAAGATTCTACTTTCTGTAATATTTATGAATACAGAACTGATTTTGCTTACCATTGGTTTTGGGATTTTCTTAGTTTAGATGTATTTTTACCTGTAAAACTGCTGAAACTTCCACTGAATTATGTTTAATATGGACGTCCCCTGTTTTGTACATTTTTTTATGCTTGTATAATTCATCTAATGAGGTAATTGCAGAACACCATCCTGATTAAATAAAAGTTTTTCAGCTCCATCAGATTAATTTGTAGGTTTTATAAATAAAGTTAGAATTCTGAACTTAATCGAGCAGCAAACATTTAACAGCCTCTTGCTTTGTTCTCACACTCACAAAACTGATCTCTTCTGTGTTCCCATTCCTCGTTAAATACTGTTAAGAAGAAAGCAATACATCTTTAAACTGCTCACAACTCCTGCAGCATTTAATGGAAACTGTGCACCGCATCTCCAACCGAGCGGCAAACTCCAGGGCTGAGGCTGATTCATGCTCAGACCCTGGACGAGCCCCCGATTTGTTCTGCAGGCCACAACAAAGAAGAGAGACGCACTGAGAGTTTTAAAGCAATAAACCTTGTGGTAATGGCCAGATGTGCCCAGTTAATGTGAGTTAATGTGACGGCATCGTAACTGCAAGCTCTGCAGCCAGAGACCTGCACAGAGCAGGACCGAGGACCAGGGGCTGTAACAAGGAGCTCACTTTGTTTTTTAATCGCTCATTTATATAGTTTCAAGGTGTAAAGTTGTGCATAATTAAGGGAGTAGCTGCTTCAAGTGACAGGTAGGAGTCAAGGGAGGCTGTGGTTCAGGTGGTAGAGCGTTTGTCCTCTGATTGCAAAGTTGGTGGTTTGATCCCCGGCCCCTTGGGCAAGAAACTGAACCCGAAGCTGCTCCCAATGGCAGGCAGCATCGTGCATGGCAGCTTCGAGGAGTTGGGCAGCTCCAAGACGGAGACGATTCGAGCAAACACACTGAGCTTCAAAACTGCAGCAGTCATGAAGGGTTTGTCTGTTTTTACGCAGTCTTTGTCCTAAACTAGGAAAACAAAACAACACACTGCATACAAGAGCCAACAAAAACGCACCAGAAGTTGGGTTTCCCACAGTTTCTAACCTTGATTTGACATCATTGTCTAAAACAACAGTCCAAACAGTTATTGACGAGTGCAGCTTCTCTATATCTAATGAGGTTAATATCAAAATGTCTCCATGAGATAACATGGCTTTAACACAGTATTTTTCCCCTCTTTTCTTTCTTTACATCTATTGCGCATACTGATCCCAGAATGGCCACAAAGCAAATTCACTTTCTACATCCGTTGCACAGAAAATGATGCAAGCTGACTTCCAACTCTGTGGAAGTTACACTGAATGCATCACACACAACCACAGAGATTAATTCATCCAACCATCCATCATCTATGCACCGCTTTGGGGTTGTAGGGGGCTGGAGTCTATCCCAGCTGACTCAGGGTGAAGGCAGCTTCACCTGGACAGGTAACCAGTCTATCACAGGGCTACACTTAGAGACAGACAACCAAGCACACTCACATTCACACCTACGGACAATTTACAATCACCAATTAACCTCAGCATGTTTCTGGACTGTGGGAGGAAGCCGGAGAACCCGGAGAGAACCCACGCTGCACGGGGAGAACATGGAGACTCCACCCAGAAAGATCCCAGGTGTCCTCACTGGGACGCAAACCTTCTAGCTGCGAGGCAACGGTGCTAACCACTGCTCCACCTTGCAGCCCCTTTTTAGTCCTGTAAGGTGGTAAAGTCATGCAGCATGAAGCAGTTTCAATTTACATTTTAGCATCAATCACGTATAATATAGAAGTGTTGCTAACGAAGCAGCTAAATGCACCACAGCTGAATTAAAAGCATAATTTACTCGTGTGTCTTTGTGACAAAATGTGTTCGGGGTAAAAAAAATGACGACAAGACGCCGAATGCTCGAGTTCCTTCTTTTTAATGTGTTAACCTGTCATCTCATAAATCTGTTACACTTCTGAAACAAAATATAGGCAATTATACAGTATGTAAAACAAACCCATTTTTATTTTACACTATGTACATTTCATAACGTATGCATCGCATTATGAAAACAAAAGACAAAGGTGATGTAAAAGCGACAGTACAGAGGTGACCTAACGGCGTTTTAAGATCGGGAGGCGACGCGGACCAAACAGACGCCGGAGTAAACTCACAGGAGCTGAATTTAATCTGCTTCGAGCACCAAAGAGACGGAGTTAGCAACAAGAGATCCCTGGAAAATTACCGCGATGCCAATTTAGTATACGTTTGTGAAATTCGGATTATTAAACACATCTAGTTGTCGAAGCCTCCTGTGGCTTAGTCCACATTTAATCCAGGAGAGGTTGCAGTTTTAAAACAAGACTTTTCAGAAAAACACCCACACAGGAAAGCAACGCTGGCACCTGCTTTCAGAACCACGACGGCAGAAGGAAGGAGACAGATCCCACGTTAACTTTGTTAAAGATCCCAGACGGATGTGAGGAAAAGCAAAAAACAGGCGGCAGAACTGCTCGAACAGTCGTACTTACGGGGCTTTAAGAACAATTCGGAGTTTTTAAGAGAACTGATGACACGCTTGAGTAACTTTTGTTCGTTGACACATCGAGTGAGAGCACACAGACGGTTCAGAGTTTAGAGTTTGGCTTCACACTTTTATAACCAGACTTTTTTGTTTTTAATCGTCTACGGACAAACCACGAGGTAGAACATCTAAACATGGCCGTCAGAAGGTTCAACTACATGTTTATGGCATTACCTTAAAGGAATGTTTCTTTTCTTCCCAAATACACATGAACTGTTGGCTTAATGAGCTTAATCGATTTGACAATAATCGAGCACTTTTTTGTTTTTGCTCAGATAAGTGTTGGCGGCTGCCCAGCGTGTATTAACGGACGTTGGCAGGAAGCACATGATCGTGGCTTAAATCACTCATCCGGGGCACTGATGCACTTCGTAGGTGGTTGAATAGCAAGTAGTTTGATTTTTTTTCCATATTGGACTAGATTTTTAAGAGATTTACACAATTAAACAGTTTATTGCTGTGATGTGAGTCTTCAGTTCTAAGCAGGTTTCATTTTACAATATAATAGGCCATTAAAAAAAAAGGTAATTTATACCTTCACAGTGGATTGAAGTTGTGTAACTAGACTTGTTTGAGTCACTGGAAGCTACAATCCAGCGAGAGGATCTGTTTATTCACAAATAAATCCCGTTGAAGCAGAGTGAATAGTGTGCAGAGGCGTTAGCGCGGCTGAAGGTTTGCTGCCGTGTTGGTAAAATGATCATCTTCTGAATATTGGAAGGAAATCAGATCTCACTGTACACAAAAAAAAAAGCTGGTAAAGTCTAAAAAAGTCCCCCCAACATGCCGACATTTCCCTTTTATAGCCGCATTCTTTAACATTTAAATGACTGTAACTGCCGTCACTCCAACCTGGTTCTAGTCGCTCGCTTCCAGGTGATGAGTTGGACGCGAGATGCAAAATAAAAACCACAAGATGGCAGCAAACACAGGATTTTTTTGGCCATTATTAGAACTGGGTTTTCCTCCCAGGGTCTTAAAAAAAAAACCTGCCATTAAATTAGAACTTTTTGTGTCTCTACAGATGTGAAGTATTGAATCACACAGCTGGATGTTGACACATGTGGAGGAGATGAACACATGAACGAGAAGTAAAAGCTGTTTGAAAGGCAAATGTTTGAGCTCTGGAAGATTTCAGCGTTACAGATTTTTTTTTTTTACCTCGGCTAAACTAGTGTCCTCAGGAGAAACCTGGAGCGTCACAGCTTGTGAGGACTGGTAGTGTACGGCCACACGCAGACTCTCCTGCACACCACGCAGTGCGCATCTACATGCATGTAGTGTGATCTGTCGCGCAGACGCCGGCCTTTAACGGAAGCCGCAGCGGCGACGGCTGAAGCTGGAGACGGTCGTTTTAAAAACAAAATATTACGAGAATGAATAAAATGCTCGGAAGTACACAGAAATTAAAATTTACTTGGACTGGGCTGTATTCCCAGGCTGATTTCTGGACTAAATAGACGGCATAATGGGAACCTTTTAGCAATATATGAGGGAACTCTGATGTCTATATGCAGCATCCTGATTCTACTGTAGCGTCTTAGGAGGAAATGTGGTTTGTTGAAGACCGGCCAGCTACAAATATTAGCAGCATTTAGCTTCGTATATACGTTTTACATGTTCCTAAGGTGACATATTTCATCCAAGCTTAATTTCTTCCTAAATATCAGATCAGAAATTTGTTATTCAAACACTTTCAGATCAATTATAGCAAATTATTCATCATTTAAACTACTTTGTTTAGCTGTTTTCGAGAAAATCTTACTTTGTTAACGTGTAAATATGAAGTTTTTTCTACGCTGAGCAAAAACAAGCAGTCAGTTGAGCTTTTCTACCTTCACACTGCAGTTTAATAATGTTGGTTTTACACCTAACAAACCAAAGGAACCAATCCTATCGTCGTTTTTCCTTCAGAATCTGTTTTCATCTTAAGCTACCATTGTGTTGCGTTGAGCTGGTGTGCTGGAGCTGCACATTCTGAAATGTAGAGTTCCATCTAAGCCACTCTAAGGCAGGACGGGATCATTTTCAGGGACATAAATGCTAAATATGTGACTTTAAAGGTTCATTAATGACCAAAAAGAAAGCAGCTTGTATTTATTTGTTATTGTTTTTGGACTTTAATGCTTGAAATTGTGGCCAATAGGAGCTCATATATATATATAAATAACTGGATAAATTTTGATTTCTGTGTAAATCCAGCTTTTAATTTCCCTTTAAGTTCTTTTTAAACAGCCAGAAACACAACCGCCACTTGTTAAAGACCAGATCTGTACACAATGCACTCGTATGTGCATATTCTACGTCTACGAACACACACATACACACACACACGCATACACACACACACACACACAGTGCATACACACAAGGTCATATATTATAATGACATCACATTTGTTTATGAAATACATTTTTCTTTGTGCAAAATTTTTAACACCAGTGGTTCGATAAAAAAAAAAAAAAAAAAAAAATTAGCATTAAAGAACAAATAAAAGTATTTTCTGATTTAAAACAGCATAAAAAGATGAACAGGACGATGGAGGAACAAACAGAACTCCGCTGCCCTGGCGACGGTTGCTATGGTGCGAGCAAGCAGGAAGTCATGCAGGGCGACCGGTCGAGCGTCGCGCGTTCGCTCGGCTCCATCCCGACGCCTTTGTGAGAGTAATATCGGGGAGGAGAGGAGACGGCGGGGGGGTCTTTCTCGTCACATGATCAGCCAAATCTACCGTCCCGTCGCGCCCGTCTCGTCTCCACGGTTGTACATTTGCAACTATACACACGCCCTATCTACACGACCAGTCTTTTTAGTGTTCGTCTCTGTCAAAAAAATACTACATTTATATTTACAACAATTAAATAGAAGTCAATTAAGCACTTGTGTGGTGTGGTGGTGGTGGTGGTGGTGGGAGTTTTGATGCTAGCGAAGAGTGGCGAAGCTTTTATTTATTTTTTTTTAGTCTCTTTTTTTTGTTTTTATCCTTTAAAATAAAATAAAAAAAACAAATAAAACAGGAAAAGCCATCCTGGTTGTTAAAGTTACATCATGCCACAATAAATAAAGGAGGGGAGTTTTAAAAAGAAAAAAAAATAAAGAGGGGGGGAAAGAAAAGGAAAGAGGAGACAAGAGGAAATGAATGAGAGAAGGTTTTCTGTGCAAGATGGCCCTTCTGTGAAGCTGTAGCACAAGAAGCAGTAGTAGTAGTAGTAGTAGTAGTAGTAGTATGTGTAGAACTAGTAGTAGAAGTAGTGTCGGGGTCAGATTTACGTGCTGCTTTTCGAGAGGCGGGATGGAATCAGGAGAGAGTTGCTCTTGTAAGGTGCAGAGAGGAGATTCCTCGGCGTTAAACCCCTGCTCTAAACACAACAAGCTTCACTGACAACACTGCGGTGCTTTTTGTTTTTTTTTTTTCAACGGCTGCGACTGGGAAAGTCGCTCGTCTCCAAGTCACGAGGGCTCGGCGGGTGTACAACGGAATGAGTTTCTTTCTCCCCTTTAGTCGGCAATAGTGATGGAGGCGGGGGAGGAGGAGAGTGTGTTTGTGTATGTGTCTCAGTAGCTGTTTTCGTGGCCCGCCAGGATGTAGAGGTTGCTGTGGGCTGTGGGGTTGTCCGTCGGCCGGCTCTCCAGCACCACCACCCTGCAACGCAAACACAAACACACACAGACACACACACGACATCCAGTTTAGTTTCCAAGAACGGCGACGAAAACCTCAACGGAGCTGCTTCACCTTTAAATCCCCAGCACGTTATTAGTTTTCTGACAAAACAAATGAGTAAAACAAAGAATAAAGAGGCAGTAAAGACCCAGGATTTATCGCAGCAATATGCGCAGACAGCCAGCAAACCCACGCAGGACGCGGTCCAAGCCTGTAAAAGCGTTGTTATTTGGGAAAAAACACAAAACGCAGCGGAGAGAGATGACTAGGTTTACTCTGCTTGCCCTGAGGAACACTGAGAAAGTTGTTAATGCTCCTTTAAAGTGGACCCAAACGCTCCCACATTCACGCCTTAGAGAGACTCAGCGATGAGACCATAGACACCAAAGTCATCTTCCACATTTTTAAATACTGATGACATCAAATCGCACATGAAAGCAGATGATTTTAGTGTCTATACTCTCATGGCTTGAAGTCTCCTCAGAGCCTTTCCTCTCGCTCTCTTCCCCTCGCTCTAAGTGCTCCTGATCGATAACATCTGACATGAAGCAGACCTCCACAGTCCCCGACAGAAAGAGGCAGAGTTTGAGGCCGCCGGCGAGCAGCGAGTGTACCTGGGCAGAGCGAGGCCTCTGTCCTCGGCCTCTGGGTCTCTGCAGTCGGCTCGTCTTCGGTGGTGAGACATCAGAGAGGGTGTTAACACAAAACCTAAACGTGTGTTTGTGTGTGCGATGAAGTGAGAAAGATGTATTTTTTTTTGTGTGTGTGTTGTTTCTCACCTGTCTGATCCCAGTAGTCTAAAGATGCGTGTGCTGTCAGAGATCTCCTGAGTGATCTGATGGATAAAAAAAGAGAAGGTCAAAGCAGGGAAGGTGAAAATGCAGGATGGAGCAGTGAAATATTGATGGCTTGACCTTAAAAGCAGGAAAAAAGTCATTCATAAAACATCACTTGAACATTGTTTATGCCTGACATCTGCAGGTGGCGCCTGAAAGACTTTCTTTTTTTTAGAAATTTCCACAGATTTAATCAAAATGAACAACCGTCGTCTTGATATGGTTTCAAAACGGAGGCATCAGCAGGTCAGAGTGAGGTCTGAAAAGCCCCCAGTGAAATGAATCGAACGGTAAATCTGAGTAAATAACAACCTTAAAGCAGCGAGACAGTGACACTGATATGTGTTGAACCAAATCTGAAAATTCTCAACTACAACTCAACCAAATTTCTTGCAATATAGACGAAGCTGCATCGGTTTAAGCTACAGCGGTACCATGCGGTCAAATCAGTGAATGTGCAACGACTGCAGGGGGTAACAGGTTCATCTCATGGATCAAAAATGCAAGAGGCTGCATTAGTGGAGGTGTCCATCCATTTAAACAGTGCAAAATCACAACACAAGTCATGTGAGGACACTTTATAGTCGGTCAACACACTTGGCGACAGTGGGGGGAGGTGAACGTCCAGCGAACGGAGAAGAAATGAATGTTGAGCTTTAAAGGCTCCCGAGAGACACGAGCAGCAGAACTTCCCGTCCAGTCGGAGGAACAGATTCACAAGAAGTTTATCACAAGGTCAACCTCTGCAGAACGCTTCGTAATGTCCTGAGTGAGTCTTGAATCGTTTTGGCTTTCATGACTTGACATGCGTTTGATTTGCCAACGCAGTGCCGCGCCAGATCACGTTGCATCACGTCCTCGGGAAAAGTTTTTAAGCTGCACATTTGTTCACTAAGAATCAGAATCAGAAAGACTTCTTGATCCCTGAGAGGAAATTGCTTGATTTCTTTGTTGTATTGAAACAGTTTTATTTCATGAATTGTGTGGGTTTACTTTTTAAAGAAAGTTAAAGTTGATCTGAACAAATCTGTAGGCTGCAGTCGGACATTAAATCCTGTATGCACATCAATTTATCAGATATGTGTGTACAGACTCAGAATAAACACTTTTTAGGGAATTCATGCATTTCATCTCAGTCTCTGACAATAAAACAATACCGAGTTGTGGTACTGAGATAATTCTAGTTGGATTTGTTGTAGAAAACTTGAGTGTGACGCTCTACTGTCCCAGTTAGTGATTTTCCCATCCATCCATCCATCCATCCATCCACTTAACCCTCACTAGGGTCGCGGGGGGCTGGAGTCTATCCCAGCTGACTAACCCAAACCTCAACCTGTTTTTGGACTTGTGGAGGAGCCCGAGAACCCAGAGAGAACCCACGCTGCACCCATTTACTGATTATGTAGATCTGAAACATCTACTTAACCTTGATTGAACCCAACAACAGATCAATCCAGACCCAACTCACAGTTCATAAAACAAATACAGTATCTCATGAATGTTTTTTTATTTGGACGTGAATTTACACTGCAGCTGGAGAGCACTCACAGCCATCCAGCCCCGCAGGTGTTTTTAATGTGGCTCATCTCCTTGTTGTTGACATCATCGCCATGGCGACATCAACCGCTGAGGAGAGCTATTGTGTGTTGTTGTTGCTGCTGCCTTAATGTTACACAAGAGAATTTGCTCTGAGCTAAAATCACAGATGCAGAATGCGTGTCACTCTCTCTGCTACACAAGTTTGACTAAATCTGAGCCGCGTCCGCCTCAGTTCCACGCAGGTCAAACCACGAGAGACGCAACGTCTGCGGTGGAATCACACGTCAGAGTTCAGAGATCAAAGTGATGCAACTCGCTGCAGGCAAACAGAGAGCTTCCTCTCAGTGGGCTTGAATGTATTAAAACTGAACGCACGCTGCCTAAACGTTCTAAGTGAGCTGATTAAATGCTGTCTTGTTATTTCCAGTCATTCTGAAATACAATACAAATCACATGTGGACCTGTGAGGATTAAATCTGAGCACTTCTGACCTACATCCACCTCTGCTCGTCCGCTTCCATTTTAGGAATTCAACAGTAGAAACCAAAATCCTATTATAGTCAGAGATTAAATAAGTTGCCGCGATGCCTGGAGGTGAACCTCTAAAGGCCACGTTAAGGTGCGTTTTCTTCCTCTGAGCATTCACACACGCTCGTACAGACACGCTCGGTATCGATCTCACCTCGTTGGTCTTGAAACTCCGTCCCTGCATGCCGTGTCTCCAGAAGGCCAGAACACTGTCTTGGAGGCAAACTGTAAAAAAAAAAACAAATAAAAACAAAAAGATAACTGCTTGTTTATGGATTACAGATAAGCTTGTGCACATCCACTTAAAGGTCGATTCAATTTCCCCTCATTTTTCTCAGTTCATGACCTTTTGGTTCTACATGCAGCCCCGTTTCCACACTAAGTAGTACTTTGTGATGTAAAATATTGTTTTCCTCCTTCACCTATGGATTCAATCTGGAAGTTGAAGGTGAGCTCAGCTGACAACTTTCTGCTGGATTTCAACCGGCCCTGGAGGTTCACGATCTTTATACATCCTGTGGAGAGAGACGGGGAACAAAGAGCGGAGTGACGCCCGGGTAAAGCTGTCGGAAAAGCTCCCACATTCTAACAGTCGAAGCTGCAAAATGCAAATGTGTCTGAGTTACTCACTGTCGAGGCAGACGAGGATAGTGTCTCTCTCTAGCTGAGTGACGTGGATCACACACGTCTGTGGCGTGTCTGCAGGAGGAAGATTAATTCAGTGTTAGTTTGGCCTTTATGTTGTAACCACCAACGTCAAAGTCAGTCCTGTTATCCTCACCCGCTTCTGTGAACCAGGAGGAGGTAGAGTTGGGGTTGACGGTGCCGAACCGGACCACCTGGTTGAGTTCGGTTCCTTTGCTGACCGCCACGCAGATCAGAGGGTAGGTCTGCTCCGGGACCACCAACATCTCGAAGACCTCCAACGGACACGGCAACGGGAAGTCGATGTTCTGTCGGATGAACGAAGAGAGAGAGACGTGTTAGAAGTCTGTCTGCTGCTGTCTGAGGAATAACTGATTAGTGTAGTGTGTAAATGGACATTTAGAAATAAGAAAGCTACAAATCACATCTGAAAAATTAATTGTGCATTGATCACCATGTTTCTGGTTGTGAACGCTGACTGCAACATCGATATTTAAAATGTTCTGCTTATAAATATTCACTAAAATCACTTGGTATAAACCGGGACAAATCTTTAGAAACCTCTAACGTTCTTTTTCACTCTTTTTAAAGTCATTTTTGGTCAAACACCTGCCGGGATGCTGCAGTAACCGAGTAGGAGACTAGAGGCTTCTCTACGCACAAATACCCAGCTAGAATCTACTGAAGCCTGCAGGTGATGCATTTAATGAACATCCGTACATTGCAGTATCAACTGATAACCAGATGTTCAACAGATGAAGCTGTTCGGGTACAATTCTAGTCAGAATTTTGCTTCTTGCAGATGCACTGAATAATTATTGTTTTAAGTTTTAATTTGATGCAACAATTTGTGCAGCAATGCAGCACAACATGGAAGTGAAAACAAAGAAAATATTCTCTCTTTAAAAAACAATAAATAATCATGAGAAATAACTCTGATCTCAATACTGATCAAAGTTACTGTCATTATTATTATTTTGGCAGATAATCGTGCCGCCCGACTCCAAATTAGTCTGATTTTAAATCTCCTGAAAACCACAGATGAACCTGTAAGAGTGAAGTCTGGAGCAGGTCGCAGCCTCAAACTGACATTTTAACAATCTTAAGAGCTTAAATATAATATTTTGAAATGTTTTACCATTTAAAAAAATTCCAGCATTATGAAAATGTGCCTGTGTGTGTTTTTATTTTGTTTCTTGGATTTTTTTTTTCTAATACATGAGTTATGAAAGCAAACATGTAAACACAAACGAGGAGTTTTGAAGAGAGTGACCTTGATGAGCATGAACTTCTGCATGGACTCGACCCACTCCAACAGCATGACGCTGGACTGGAAGGCTCCACACAGGTACTTATGGCCTGTGTACGGGTTACGAACTGCGGGGAGACAACATCGGGTGTCAGGGACTTCTGCTCCTTGGTTTATGTGTGCATTAAATTCAATATGCCCAGTGACATGTTTACATCTTGTAAAAGCAAAAAACACATTACTGTTGCTAAGCACTGCCTGTCTAAGTGCTTACAGTAATATTCTGCATATTTTCCCATAGGAGATTACAAATTTCTTCTCTATAAACTCACCTACGCAGCACTTTTGGCACCCTTTAGTGTCTGGAATTTTATTGGACACAGCAAACTTCCTACAATCAGACAAAAAAAACCAAACAGAAATGTGTCACCCATGAACAAAACCACTGTGTTAAAGCTGACATTAAGTTACGCTGATTCTACAGAAATAAACTGAAACTGACACAACTGTTTTGTTAGACAGTGAAGTAAACAGACGTATTAAAATTCACTCGATCAAGCAGCTCAAACATAAGAAAATAAGAGTTTGCAAACGATCGACAGCTTTGCCGTCCTGGTTGCAGTTACCTGGGAATCATCTTATCAGGCAGCTTGTGTGTGGGAATGGCTACGGGCAACTTCTGTAACTGTCGGGCCTGTTCAAACAGACCGCTCAGACTATGGGAGTACAGCTGGGAGGCTTTTCCTGGAACACAATACGCCAGAGCGGAGGACAGAGGAGAGGGTTAGCGGCTGGAACGATACTGACGTAAGGTACAAGATTTAACCTGTTAACAAGATGACTGACGCAAAATCAATGATTGAGATCACGTTCTGGTGAAGACGAGAGTAATGTCACAACTCACCAGATATGGAAAGAAGACAATTGTTCATGACGTATAGCCAGGTACACCGCCGAGGGAAGAGCTGCACACAAAGTACAGAGAGAACACATTAAATGAGCATTATGGTGAAACAGAACTCGATAAAATGACTTCAAATACAAGTTTTCTATTTAAGAAAGTCACAATTTAGGAATTTCTCACATGTAACAGTAAAAGTAGGAACCAAAATAATAACGTTCTGATGCAGCATATTGCTGTTAACTTAAGATGCTCATGATCTGTAGCCTCACCTGCTCCATCGTTGTCTCGTGCAGCTCGTTGAGGTTTAACGTGTAGATTCCCTCTTCGGCTCCGAATATCAAATACTGGTCTGAAACACACAAACATTGCAAAGCAGCAGCTCACATCAGACAACCCAGAAAAGAGACGTTGTGGTTCTATTTGGCAAAAGAACTAAAGACGTATCCATCCTTCTATAAATCTGTTTTCCTTCGGGTTACCTCTGGTGTCGGGGTTGATCCATGAAGTGGCGCAGTGGATCTTCAGAGGACAGCCGTTGAACACCTTGGAGAAACACGCACCCATCTGCAAGTGGGTGAAGAGCACGAAAAAAAGGGGGATAAGACAAACTTTTAGAGGATTATTTTGCTGTATTTTGACGATTAATTGAGGCTGAAATGCTCGATGTGGTGAACAAAACACTGCTGAGCTACAAATTGTATTTCTCATGGACTGTTTGCTTTGTGCTGAGCAAAGTATCTGGTGTTCTAATTTAATATAAAGTAAGAAAAGTTAGGATAAAACTTCATTAATCCCAAAGAAAAGTCTTATATATGAATTAAAAAGCAAAACATTGACATAAGACATGAAGTGTCTAAAAGTAGAAACCAATACGATGTAAGTGTGATACATTACTAAAACAATAATAACATTAAAAACAAATGCTGACAATCAAACTGAAGTAATATCACACATGATAAAGAAATAATAAAATTAAATTTTGCACCTGAATTCAATTTTTGGGAGGATAACAAACTGAAAACTTTAATTAAAGGTCAAAACAGTGGGAAGTGAGCATAAGAATGCTTTTTCCTGTGATGTCAGGGACTCTGTTCACGTTAACGTTGATATCTTTTGTTGAATAAAACGAGAATTTTGAAAATAAGTGACGCAAAAAGAGACTCACATGAACTTTGGGTGTTGGAGGGAGACCGTTGCTGATTGGCTTCTGAGGCAAAGACAAACACGCATTAAGAAACAGAAAAAAACAAAAGTTTCTGTAATTTGACCAGAAAGGAATAAAGAATCTGAAGATAAACGTAATGATGCCACTAAACATGCATAGAGGTTGAACACTGTGGATTTTACACACACTTCTGGCTGCTATAACAAAATGACCCTTTTATTCTCCATTTTCACAAAAATACCAAAACATACATTTAACAGAGGGTCTGGCCTTTCCCATCTGCCCCACAGAGTTATGAATGTTCATACATTCTGTGTGGAGGCTTGCACTGGCGCCTGCTTACCGGAACTACATCCTTCTTGTCTTTCCGTATGGGGACACTAGGGGGCATGGTGGACTGCCGCTCTGCTGGACTGTCCCTCTCGCCATTGTGGGGAGAGTTCAGCCCATTACCTACGACAACAAACGACAGCAACACAGAGAGCAGCTCAGAGCGTTTGAGCGACACTGAGAGAGAGAGTGAACGTTTAAAGCAGCGGTTCTCAAACTGTTTGACCCCCAAGATAACGAAAGTTTGTGTTTGTGACGCCCCAATTAGAACTTTTAATGTCTCACGAGTAATAACTTTGTTGTTTAAGCATTAATGCGTTAAAAACTAATGTGTTAATTCCACAGATTAGTCTCTTAACGTTCATTTTCTTTTAAATGAATGAATGAATTTTCTTCTTCTTTTTTTTTTTTTTTACAAAGATCTGGTGACCCCCTGAAATCATCTTGTGACCCCCATGTGGGTCCCGACCCCCCAGTTTGAGCACCGCTGGTTTAAAGGACAGAAAGCTGTGAATGTAAAGAGAAAACTGACTTCACTGCGGCATGTATTCAAAGCTCACTCACACATAAACATCGTTGGTTTTAATGAGAAACAATCGGAGCCGTAAAGACGAAGAGAAGAATCAAACAGTGAAAGAAAAGAAAACAACAAACTACCGGGAGCAGAGAGGGAGGGAAGGAGGGAGGCTAGCAGGAAGAATACAGAGGATCAAATAGAGTCGTGAGCGAAGGACGGAGTGGATTCGTCACATTTCACCTGCTGGACGGAGTTCAGTTCTGATTCATGTTCAGCTCAGCGGATCTGAACGCTCTACTCTGTTATTGGAAAGTTTGACTTGGCTGATAAAATAGTTGTTTTTTTTTTAGAGTTGAGTGTCCCTGTAACTTGAGAGAGAAAACAAAACTCCTCTGCCAACACAGTGCGGATCCACCTGAAGGCTTAAAGGAGCATTTCAGCAGGACTGGACTTCTCACTAGAATTAATCTTAAATTTCAAATATCTCCTTCTCAAGAGAGAGCGAGACCAAAGCTGCATATTTATTCCAATTATTCAGTCCTGAAATTAACTGGGAATAGAAGTAATGAAATATAAGATAAAAAGCATGTTTAAGACACTGGAAATGACCTGTACAGGCTCCAGTCATACAGGAACGGGTTTCTGGTGAGTGGATCTCGTCTGAACTTTACTTATGAAGGAACTAAAAACTCATTTTGATTTGTTTGTTTATCCAGTTGTTCAGTTTGCATTTGCGATGTTGCTAAATTGGACAAGAGACACCAAATTGAATCAAGTGAATCCAAACATCGGCACACTGTGACGAGGTGCAGAATGTTTTCTTGAACCAATCTCAGAGCCCACTACAACTCTTCCTGTATCGTTCATGTCTATGAGCCAGGACAATGTTTTCTCCTCTTCTTTCTTCCTCCTAGGAAGCGAGGGGGAGTGGTAGCAGCTTCTGATTGATTGAACAACCAATCAGCCTTCACAAAAATGACTTTGGAGACAAACAATTATATTGAGCGGGAGCTGATGGACGGAAGGAAACTACAAACAAAAAAAATTAAAAAGCATTATTGTTAATGGACTTATGGAACAAAGAAATCAATCAGACTACAAGGATTGACTAATGGGAGACCACACAACCAATCGCGGGGGTAGGGGGGACGGACGAGAGGGTCTGCGGACACTACCCGTCTACCAATCGGCTGCTCTTACTCTCTTCCTTTTCCTCCTCTTTTTCCTGCTCCTCTTTCACCTCCTTCAGCACCTCCCACGCCTCCTCCAGCTCCTCCTCTGTGTGAGGCGTGTGGAGCCACTCCCAGAAATGCCTAAAGCTCCCATCATCCTCTGGGGCAGAGTGTTCGACGTCTTTGCGCTTCGGGCTCTCGTTACCTAGGCTGCTGCGGCGGTGGGGCGGCAGCTTCGGGGGCGGCGGCCGCGGGGGCACGTTGGAGGCGGGCTTGGCGGGGCTCGGCGTCTCCGGGACCGGACAGCGTTTGATGGTCCCTCCCCCTCCGCCATCGTCCTCGCTGTGCGATTGGCTATCGTCCAGTTTTTGCTGCTGAGGCTGCGGTTGGGACGAACAGATGGACTTGGGCTGCAGATAAAGGGACAAAGAGTCAGCTTGATTTTCATGTTCTGGGCGGTAAAATGATTTAAAACTTAAAAATGCGTCCGTGGCTAATAGACACATTCGGTTACCTTTGGAGGAAGTGGCGGCGGGACCTTTGGCCTCATGATAGTGCTTGATTTACTAAAAGGAGAAGCCAGAAAATGTGAAATAAGACACTCAAAAAATAAATTAAAACCAATAAACACACTTGCCAACATATAAACACAGAGGCTATGGTTTGACCTGTCATTTTAAAGCACTTTTTGCTTTAATTTTACACAACAAATTTAATCAGGATCCCATATTTTAGTATCTACACTTTTCCAACAAAGTCTTACTCATATTTATTTAGACTGAAAGATATGTGGAAGCGTTCCTCTTCATCCAGATGTTAAAAGAAATGCTGAAATGACAGATACAACCATAGCCTGAGAGTACTTTACACTGAGACAGACATGTGGTGACTGGCTTAAAAGGTTAACCACTAAAGTGAGACTGAGCGGTACAGAAGAGAAACCACAGGAGGAGCACGTGTAGAGTCTCTGAGGATGGTAGCGCTGATACTGGCTACAGTCACACGTAAAGCTGTTGTTGTTAAAATATGTTACACACTATATTCTATTATTATTGAGCTTTTGAGTTATTATTCTCATTTGAATTAAGAGACTTCAATCGCCTGTTCACACCTTTAAAAAAAGAGAGAATTAACATTTCAATCAGCGCTACGTTCGCAGAGACTCGCAGCGTTTGTTAATGAATGAGAGACAGAGAACCAATCGGAGCACACGTCAACACGGACAGAGCCAATCACAGTGGAAACAAACACAGTTGAATGGCAGGAGACAGACAGACACACAAAGGCCCTCGGAGAAGCTTAGATGTAAACTGTATTGATAAGAACTGATGTGGAGCTGACACAGTTCACACATTCAGGGCTGGAAGCTACAGTCTGATGCTTCGTCTAAACCAGGAGCTGGTTAGAGGGAGAATAGAAACGCTGCACTGGAAAAGTAGGTACATGACAAACAGCCTTTTTTGGGAGAACATTTAAGGGCACTAAGGTGCAGAAAAGCATCTAAATTTGTAGTATAGTATGCTCTACATCTACTGATTCTACACCTACAACCTAAGAGTTGGCAAATGCAAACAAAACATGTCCATGAAAACTTTCTGAAAAAGCATTTTTGTGGCGTTATGTGTGACAGAGTTATGAACCACACTGCAGGTAATGTTTTAGTAATTCCTACTGGACAGTTGATGAATAGAAAAGAACATTTTCAGCAGCAGGATCAAAACATATTTAGGATTTATCAGAAGGACGTGTTACAGCTGAATAATATGCAAAAAAAATCATCTGCAATCTGCAAACCCACTTTAACTACTGTGTTTATCACACAGGATGGGGATTTCTGCTGCAGTCTGTACCAAATAACCACGTTTCTTATGTCGAGAGGATATGATTTATACGCTGAGGCGTCTCTGTAGAACCACAAACTTCATTTAAAATAGTTTGTTGTGATTTTATCTTAAGAGGAAAAGTACAGCTTCAGCGACTTGTTGTGATTTTAACCATATTTTGATGAACTGTTCAGCCGTTTTAACAACCTAGCCAGCATTGTTCAAGTTTTTAGCCTTATAGTCTGAACATTTAAGGAGAAATGTTTGAAGAAGTTGATTCTTTATCTCACATTTACATTGGCTGTTGCCTTTATGTCCTAAAAAATCAGCTTGTACAGTATAACTGGCTGCAATCACTTTAGAAATTCAGGTTTCCTCAGTTGTTCTAATCACTGTCACTGTGAACAAGCCCAAAAAAACCCCTGAAACATAAAAGCACAGAAGGCCCTTTTTTCTGACGGCGCTGGAAAATCTTTGTCTAGAAAGAGCACTCTGGCCTGCCGCAGACATTTGGCTTTTACACAATAAGGGAAGAGGCTGGACGCCAGATTTACAGTTTTATAGAGGCAGGAGAAGACAGAAGGCAGCGTGAGGGCGCAACACACACACACACACACACACACACACACACACACACAAACACACACACAGCAAGGAGGCACACAGATGGCGACGCGAAGTGGAGAACAAAACAAGACAACAGCAAATAAGATGGCAAGGTCATGAGGACCAGTTATCTAAGGAATCAAAGAGAACTCAGACCTCATGTTGCACAGATACGTTAAACTGCTGCCACTTTCCAGGATCTGACATGTAGCTTTGTTTACATGGAGTCTGTGGTTTTTACCCAAGTTTAACCCTCTGTCTCTAACTCCAGCATCTATTTCACATCTCCTACTGTAGGAATAGACGGAGAGCAAAGTAGAAATGCATGACTATAACCTGTACGACCAGCCTCTTGGTGAGGGTTACTGTTAGTAGCTTCAACACTTCACACCAGACAGCAGTGACAGCATGGAGAACACACAGGCGGTGGACACACAAACACAGGTGGCGTATGTGGCGTGATGGTGGGAGTGTGCTGCGTAGATGAAACTGTGGGCGAAGACAGGAAGCCTTCCTCCCCGTCCTCATCCTCGTCCTTCCCCGCCGTTCGAAACAAGGGCGGGGCGAGAAAGAACGAGAGATGCTGAGACGAGGAAGGAGAGGCTTCCGGGTTCTAAGACTGAGAGGGAACTTACTGAGTGTGAGTTTCATCATCATCTGCACCATCATCATCCTCATCCTCATCATCCCCTAAGTGTGCCACATGGCCCCTGGGAGAGGAGGTGAAGACAGGAGAGGAGGGGGGGAAGAAAGTAGTAAGGGAGAGGTGGGAGAATAGAAGTCGTGGTGGTCGGATGGGTGTAAGAGGGGGAGATTAGGGGAGCAAGCAAAGGGGGGAGGAGATGACAACAGAAAGAGGAGGAGGAGGAGGAAGAGGAGGATGGACGAAGAAGGGGAAGGAGGGGAGGGAGAGCTGAGTGAAGCTCGGTTCATGAACCACCTCTAACCCCTGAGCTCTGAACAGAACAAAAGGTAGAGCTGCATTTTCACGCTGCGGTCGACAAAATTAGGGAATCTGTCAACTTCCTAGAGATGAAACGAACCAAGGACATGCAGCCGCAACATGCTGCTTTACTTCTACGACCAGAAACCTCCAACTTCAGCTCTACTGTGTGAATTAAAGCTGGGAAACTGGACGACTGTATCAGCCAGACACAACTGGTTTGGTGTGGTTTGGTTGTGGGTGACTGTTTGTCATTTTATCCTGCTAGTTTGAGAATTCAGCAAATATTCAACATGTAAAGTGCAATTTAAAGCATGTGCTAAAAGGAATGGGCCATGTTGTGGATAATCTTGTTGCACTGATTTCCACTAAACAGAGACTAAATAACTATTAAACTACCTTTTATTGTTCCTGTCCAACTGACCAGTGCTAAAAACTAAAGTCAATTCATGAATCATATTTGACAAATCGTGCCCTCTGACCATATTCACCCTGTTTGTTTATTTAGTAGTGACAAGTGCAGGCGTCCTTCTCTGACTTCCTTCAGTTCGTCCACTTTAAAACCCAAATTGGTGACTTTATATTCCTTTTTGCAACAGGTTCTTGCATGATTGAGCTCATTAAAAAGTCCACTACTGCACATACAAACACCTCCAATAATAATCAGAAGACGTTACCGCATCGCCCAACTCTAGTTTGAACCTACACAGGCCTTCCAGATCTGAACATCCCTCAACAGTTAACCTTAAATTAGTCAAATCAGAGCAGTTTAACTGTCACTTATATCTTGGAAGTTCTCATATATTAGCCACAGCCTTCATCTATCTCAACTGAAGACAGTCAGATCGATATCATAGACCAGCCGCTACTGATAAACATATTAATCAGTTACACTCTGAGCTTCTCTTTTTAGCAGAAATACTGTTTCAGCACTTGTAATTTCTACTTTTCCAACCATTTAATAGTGTAAAACTGTTGTCATTCCTCCTCCTGCAGAAGTGACGTATCAGTAGCTTTACTCTGATCAAACAAACAGCAAAGTAAAAACACAGTATTTCTGTTGAAAAGAGAAACATGAAAACATCTTTACATAGCAGGCGATTTGCTCCTTCTTGAGTATTTTTCTTCCCTTTTCAGTCCAGCCTATTACTTCTTTATGTAACCCTGCTGGTTCTTGAGACTAACCTGTTATTTAAACACCTGCTTTTATTAGAGATTTATTCTTTATTTTCATAACAGACATGTTGTCAAGAGTGTATTTAAATTCTGAAAGCATCCATTCATAGTAAATATAGTGTGTATTTATGCCACACAGCTACAGCTTTCAACTCCATGCTGCATACATTTCTTGTGTTATAAGCTACACAATAAGGTGTAAAGACAATACTGTCAACAGTCACCTCATCCTTTAGAAAGCAGGGGTTGGGTTCACCACAGTTTACTCAAGATTACTGCATACAACAGACGCTAATCTATTCACTGAAGCAAACCTGTGTTCTACCTGTTAGTCTACAAACAACTACGCTGCATTTTTGGAACACGAACGAACATGTAAAAATCACACAGAGATCACTGTCATCTCCTCTAATTGTACCTCTGCTCACCGGCGGAGGCAGAAAGAGATAAACCAGGAAACAGCTCAACCTGAAGCCGCTGTATTTTTAAAAGAGCAGCAAAACGAGCTTAACTTTAGAGGATGTAATACTTTGAACAACAATATCTAGTTCCTGTAAGTAAGACACTGATGGCTTTAGCACAACGTGGATTTAGCACAACGTGGATCTGAAGGGACTGTTTGCGGGACAACTTTGTACCCGATGTGTGCACAGATGTGAAAACTCTTGTTTGCTTTGTATTAAACCAAAGAATTCAAAGAAACACATTTGTCATGATCGGATTACCTCGTAGAAAGTAGCAAAGCACAGGAATAGCAATCATCTTTTGAGCAAATAAGGAGAATTTCTCCACAGACTTGCCAGCGTAACGGCTAGATTGAAACTCATCTTTGGCTGAATAGATGTTCGTGCATGTGTGAGAATGCACACATGAGAACGTGTGTGTGTGTTGTGTGTGTGTGTGTGTGTGTGTGTGTGCCATGCTCTGCAGGAAGCCCCCATGAAGCACAGCCTTTTCCTGATGACATCAAAGCGTGAAGCAAGCCGCAGAGGGAAAATAAAACCCAGCAAGAATCCAGAAACGGCGACAGCCCGGAGTCGTTACAGCAGCGTTAGTTGCGTGTGATTGGCCCGATTAGTCCTGCCGTTAAAGTATGATTGGCTGATGGGTGGGCGTGGTTAGAACACCGGCAGATCGAGACGCTCTCGGTGAATCGAGATGCGAGAGGTTTGTGACTCACCTCTGCTGCAGCTCCTCCTCTACAGATTTGAGAAGGCTCCTGTTGGTTGAACACATGAAAAGAAGGTATAAATGAGGGAATGTGACGAACGTGAGAAAGGAAAAACTTCTGCTGAGGAGTGAAATCTTCGTGGAGGGCATTCTGCTGCCCTGACGTGAACCTGAGCGTTCTGCTTACAAGGCACAATTGTAAGCAGAAAGGCTGCACACAAACACTCAGAACATCCTCAAGTTGCGATAATGAATAAATCATGAAACCTGCAGCATGAAAACTCTCAACATCTCGCATTCTGGCTCTTTCGGTTTGTCTATAAACTCTCTCAATCCAGCTTACTAAAAACAAAACAAAACTAGGACATCTGTAGCTATTGATGAAAGAGAAAAGACATGAAGAGATGACAGAGTAAAAACACGACGACAGTAAAAGGAGGGAAGGCTTACTTGTTTCCTCCCAGCAGACTCGGCGAATCGTGGCCATATTCCAGCTGCAAATCCTAGAAGACAAACAAATGACATTACTCCTGTGACACAGCACTTCATTATTGGTTCATTTAGAAATGCCCTAATGATTTGAGGGCTGCATATCGTGCCCGATGTGAACCACATTTAGACTAGCCGCTACCACTTCAGCCCTCTCCCGTTGCCAAATTACTGCAGGAGCTGCTGCTGTAGCTGCTGTGGGGACAGTTACAGCTGCCTACTGCAAATAATGACACCCACAATAAAACAGCAAAGTGTAATTCATAACAGCAGACATTCACAGATGTACACAGTGGACACATATTGGTAATTGAAGGTGTTTAGAGTTGACTCCTGCTGCGCTCACATTGTGGCCTGATGTGTGTGATGTCATAATCATTAGACGTTAACTACATTTCTATCTTGTCTTATACAGATATAATAAAAATGGTCATTAATAAATTAAATATTAGGTCCAACTGGATAATTTAGCCATAAAAAAACTGGTTTTCTTTTCATCACAAAGTGTTTTTTTGCTAATAACAGCACATTAAACCTGCGCATTATGAATATTTTGTACATTCAAACACTCATTGCAATATAATTTTTTCTACTCATGGAAGAATCTATGTGCAATACTGTTATTTTCCAGATCTAGAGGATTTCTCTTTCTGATTATTACCTAAATATCTACACAGGGAAAAGTCTGTACTAAGGTATATTTTTTGTTTATTTTTATTTTCCAGTGATGTTCCCTAAATGTTTGAACCCTTTGCTGCTGTAACACTGCACATTTTCCCACTGTAGGATTAATAAAGGTTTATTGTATCTTATCCTAACTGTCATAAAGTTAGATTTAAACAAGTGCATCCCAATCATTTTGGCTTGTGACACCCTGAACTAAAGTAAAATCAATAATTTCAAGTTACAGCCTCTTTATCACAGCAACAACAACCCAAATACGGTCGTGACTCGATAATCCAACACTAAATGTAAAACCTTCTTTTATGTCGGATTGTCAAGACGGAGGTGGAGATACAAGGAGGGCTTGATGCTGGAAGGCTCATTAGTTGTTAATATTTATTGTTCATAGTTGTTATAATAACTAGTGTATTGTTAGAACACTACGCATCGCTGGATTTCAGCCTAACTGACAGGTGCAGTTGTGCATGAGCCGGACACTTCCACCCCGGGGCAGCGCTCCGACGGGGTGGAAGTGTCCAGAACACACAGGCAGTACTTGGCTGCTGATGCTAGTTTAGTTAGCGCTCACACTTCTGTTCTATTATTTCTGTAGGCAGTGAGCGATGTGGACAAAAACCTGGTGTGACATCTGTACATAAAACCACAATGTGAACGCAGCGTTGTGTCAGAAACATTTCCAGAGACGATGGCATAAAGCATGCAAGAGGACAGTGAAAATGAAAAAAATAAAGAGATGAACACTGCAGAGACACTCCCACATACGAACAAGGCCTCATGTGAGAGGTTAGAAAAAGAGAGACACACATTCTGTAGAGAGAGATGTCAGACATATGGCCAGCAAACATCACACACAATACAGCAAACACTGAAAGGTGGAGTGTGTGTGTCTGTAAATCTGGATGTGAGTGCTGTTCTGAGTAGGAATGTCTTTAAAATCCTCGCCGATCTGAACTGAATCTGACCCTCGACCTTCCTCTGTTTGTTTGTTTGCGTGTGAATGTGTATGCATATATGAAAACAACAACATCACTAAAGACTCTTATCACCATGACGACTACAACACCAGTTAGTGAGCAAAAAAAAAAAAGAAAAAAAAGCCAGAGCTGGAAAACGAAGAAGAAGAAAAAAAATGAACAGCGACAGATGGACGGACCAGAATAGATGCATCAACACTGTGAAAATTAACAAAAAATACATGTCGGAAGTCGAGCAGCCAAAACAGAATCTGAAAAAAACAGAACGAGTAACAGAGACGACGGGAAGGCAAGAGAGCCAGAGGAGGGACGAGAAGGGCTCGTCCTGCAGAGACAGATACATGGCGAGCAAGAGGAAGAGGAGGCATGAGGCTAGAAATGAAGACAGATTGGAAATAAAAAAATGAAAAAACAAAAAAAAAGGCCAATATAGGTGGACAGAGAGAGAAAGAGGTTGAAGACAGAGAGAGAGAGAGAGACAGAAGGAGTACTACCAGATTAGATCTCGCGGTATAGTAGAGCTCCTCAACACAGTCCAGATAGGGCTCAGAATCACACTGGTCAGCAAGACAGAGCGAGAGAGACCTTAGTTAATACATTAACCTGGACTGATGGAGGGAACAGGGAGGAATGGAGACATGGAGGCGAGAGAGAGAACGAGAGAGACAGAGGAGGACGATGGGTGAAAAATGGATTAAAGCCAAAAATAGGTTTTTAGAAGATCATGGATCAGCAAGACAGAGGCGGAGGGTACGGGGGTATTAATCTCGAGAGAAGAGGGGATGGATGGGAGCAGATGGGGGTTAAAAATCAGCAAAAAACTCAAGAGGAGAGGCATTAACAAATTGCATTAATATATCATATAAAAATACAAAATGAATAGCTCATGTGTGATGGCAGCTGGATTCTCAGGAGTGTTTCTTTGAATTAAAACCACTTATTACCTTAATTAGTATCACTATGGTTGATTTTTGGCCAGACTACAAAATAAATACCTCAAAAAGGCCATCATATGCAGCTGCTCGTCTTTTTAAAGTTGCGTTATTAATATAAAATGTGGTTTATTGATTTGAAAATGCTACAAATAGCAGCACAGTCCCGTATGGATCAACCTCTGAGAGCTAAAAGCCAAAGAGAACACATGCTGTTACGTCTTTAAGAAGAGAAATCGAAGGACGTCGGGATGATTGCTGATGGACGCTACAAAGACCTACACTGGTGATTATGTTTGATGATCTAAATGGATAAAGAGACAGAGGGCAGGAGAAGGATTTCATTTGATCTTGGGGTGAATTTCAATTTAAAGAGAGGGGGTGTGTTAAAAGGGAAAGTGCAGAGGAAGGCAAAAAAGTGAGGGAGGACTAACAACACATTGTGATGGTGCCTGAACCCTGCGCCATCCCCATCCGTCCACTAGCAACTTTCATCTGACAATAGCACAATCAGCTTTAGTGTCTAACATAAAAAGTCAGTGTACCAAGCAAGCATGGCTCAACCAAGACGCATTTTAAAAGCTAGAGTTGAGTTTTTGAAGAAAACCGAACAACAAAGCTAAAATCTGGCCAACATAATCAAACAATGTTCGCGCTAGCAAGAAGTAGGGATCCATTGTCTGCAGTTCTAAATCTATCTAATCTGTCGAAGATCGTAGCGAGTGCATCCAGGGGGATACGTGATCACTGATGCTTATATACAAGGAGACACTATGGCTATACAGCTAATGTGTCACGGCTGCCTTTTGGCTGTCAGGCAGTGACTATGGCATATACAGGTATGATGCTGTTATGTTTTCATGCAAATGCATCCATACAGCCTCCGTTTATTGTTCAAAAGGCCCAGGTCTGGGTCACGAGGCAAGAGGCAAAATCGCTCAGGTGTAACTCTACACCAGGGATCTCCAACTCCGGTCCTCGTGAGCTACTGTCCTGCAGGTTTTGGATGTTTCCATAATGCAATAGATCATTAATGGATCATTAAGAGACTTGTGTAGAACTTGACAACAAGCTGCTGGAGATCCATTAATGTGAGTCAGGTGTGTTCCAGAAGGGAAACATCTAAAACGTGCAGGACAGTAGCTCAAGAGGACCAGAGTTGGAGATCCCTGCTCTATAGAGACACACTAAAGGAAATATAGGCAAGTCTTGCCACTCAGAAGCTAACTTGGCAACACCATCAGGCAGGTATTTTTGGGCTAATGAGACAAGACATCTATCTAAATGAAGGAGTCGAGAGCCATAAGTGAAGTTTTAATGGTCACCATGACATAAAGAGTATGTACAGATACAACTCTCAAAAATCACAAAAAAACGCTTCAAAAGTTTGGCGACTTTGGCCCAAAATAAGGTTTAAAAAGCATGTTCTTCCGGAAGTTATACCTCTACTACACATGCGCACGGTTTCATGACTGTATGAGTCAATGCAAAGACACGATAAAGCAGACGACGGGGTTTCTGGGGCGATGGATGGAACATCTGTAACTGCCATCTCTGGCATTATGGAATCCTCCCATAAATTCCTATTCAGGATTCTTTAAGTCTCTCCATTATTTCGACTCTGGCCTCACACCTTCAGCATTTACAGAAGGACAAGGAAGTACTCTAGACCATTTGGGACACATAATCTCACCAGCATGCATTTAGGTGGTACCAGAGTCTCCTCCAGTAGGATATGGCCAGAATTCCTACACTGATTTAACCTCACCTCTGATCTAAAAAACCAAGTGGAAAAGCAATCAGACGGTTTCTATAAAACCTGCATTTACAATATTCTTTCTGTCACTGGTGTTCTTCTATTATTGAACCAAGTCTGCCTAATTTTGAGCAAACTAGTCACACAAGATGCTTCCTAACGTTCGACGACTGACAGGGATGGGGATCGAAATACTCTAAAAGCTACTAAATATTCAAACACTTCAAAGTGAACTGTGTGGATGGGCTTCATGTTCGGTTCGACACAGATTGAAAAGGACTGATTGGGTAAGGATCAGCCATGCTGGTATTGGTGAAATGACAATCACACAAATCTCATTCGCACACATGTAAACAAACGCGACGTCTAATGACTCACCGGTTCATGATGGGGTTCTGTCTCCTTCCTCAGTGGAGGATCAAACTTCACCTGACCAACTGAGAGGGATAAAGAAAGAGACAGACAGACAGGAAAACAGGGAACATATGAGTTGGGGAGATATATATATATATATATAGAGTCAGACTTTCCAAACCTGAATGTATTTGTCTGTGTTGTGGGGACTCACAGTTAATCTCAGACAGTGTCTTTCCTTCTCTGGTGCTCCTGCTGGTGGAGCGGATGCGATGGGGAACAGAGACCGGAGACTATCAGGAAAGAGAAGGAGACGCACACAGTCAAAAAAAAAAGCTGTTCAAAGATTACACACAGCGTCGTGGTCGACACAGGACCCGAGAAGATTACAATAGGTTTAAAAAAAACCATAATCCCTCTGCTATTTCCTGTGGGTGGGATTTGATGACACAGCAAAACAGGCAGCCGCGCACTGCAACGACACGACCAAAACATAACAACAGAGCCGGAGGAAAACACAAAACCTTCCCTGGCAACGACGTCGACGCTTCGATCTGCGTGTCGCCTCACCGAGACCCCTGTAAGCTCCTGATACTCCTGGTGGAGTCTGTGAGTGTTTTCCAGTACCTCAGACACATGTTTTGTTTAATTATAGGTGACATTTATGGTAAAACCCACAACCTCAAAACACAATCCACTGACCTGCTCCCAAGTCAACCGCTAAACATGATGCTGGCTCTTTGTCATCCAGCTTATTTACTGTTTCATGCTACTTTGCAAATTAAACCGCGGCAGTTTGTACAGTGATGCTTTATTTCCAAAGATTTAAAACTGACTTCATGCCTCAAGCATTCGATCTTAAGATCATAGAAAAGTTTAAAAAAACACAGCAACCTCAAACCATGCTCGTAAAGCGCTGGAAAAGACAAACCAAATGCGTCCATCAAAGCCACATTCGTAGCTTAGACCTACTGATAAATCTGTCAATGCAAAAAAAAACACCTCCAATGCCATTCTTGTAACACACATCCTGAAGTTAGTAACTGCAAAGGCAAAGGTAGATGAAGATGGCTTCCGTGAGTGCAAATGTACGCAGCATTTCCAAACCACCAAACGGAGAAACAATCCCCAGAACTATATTAAACCGTCTGGACTGCTTGATGGGATTACACGTGTCATTGATTTCCAATAGCTTCCTGAACTGCAGAATCGAGGTTTTCATTTTCAAAGTCAAAACCGCCGCTTGTGTGAATAAGAAACGAGCTATAATGGCGACACTGTGGGTTCGCAAATGCATTAGACCTGGATGTGGTTTGGGATGCGATATTCTCGGGCGCGTGACATTGTGATGCCCTGGAAGCCATCTTTATAAACCCAGACGTTCATTTCTTTATCGTCCCAGCTGGCTGCCGCAGAACTGGAATGAATTGAGATGAGATTAGGTGATATTACTCACTGATCTGCTTCGGTTTGGCTATTGTGGCTGCCAAATAATCTCGCTGATGTTGTCATGGAAGCAAGCGATATCGCTTTTGTGTGTCGCTGAAGCTGTGATGTACATTTAAACTACATAGAAACCATAAAAACAATTGTCAAATCAATAAATTCAACAAGTATCTTCTTTATTATGCCCAAACTTTAAGCATCTCGTCTAGTTCGCGGGCATAAAGTCCTATAAAATTGTGGTATAAATCAAAACCTATACTGTGTTGTGAAGACGTTCAACTAGTTTAAGAGCAATATATTCGTTTCTGTCCCTCTTCTGTAAGTTTTCATCCACTTTATGACTTCTAACCTTTAAGGACACGTCACTGAAGTGGTACAAAACTGGTTGATTCTGTCATTTTTAACAGAGAAAACTGAGGATATAAAATCAGCTGAGGTGCAAAACAAAAGCACGAACGTTACACATGCTCACTGGCATGTCAAACTAATTATGCAACAGCCCTGGTAATCCGTCAACTGCCTGAATGTCACATGCCGATGCCAACTTCCATGACAACGCCAGCAGACGCTGAATTGAAAGGAAATCTATTCATTCAGTTCTGTCGTCCTCCTCCGAGCGAAAAAACAACTGGCACAACGGTTTGTGTTAGAATGACATCACTGCAGACACACTGCAGCCGACGCTGGTACCTTCCTACGGGCCGCAAAACGGGGTGCGCGTCGAGCGCCGGGGCTTATGGGTAGGAAATGACCCCTGTACTTAAACTGAGGAGGAGGAGGAGATAGAGAACGGAGGGAGGGAGACAAGAGGACAAGAGAAAACAAGGAAAGGAGACAGAAAGAGAGGAGAAAGGCGGAGAGAGAAAGGAGAAGTGCTACAAGGAGGAAAAGAAGAGGAAACCGAACCTCAAGAAAAGTGAAATGAGAAACAAATAGGAGAAGGGAGGCGACAGAGGAAACGGAGGGAGGAGAAAGAAGGAGAAGGGGAAAGACAAAGAGCAGAAAGATGAGTCACATGTGCCGAGGAAAGGAAGGACCGAGTGGAATGGTGGTTAGATAGAGAAGGGATTTAACGGAAGAGGAGACAGAGAGACGCGATTTAGGGGGGGAAGAAAAGATCCTGCGAAACACCTCCTGAGAAGGTCAGTGGTTACCTCAGGCTCGGGGTCGTCGTCGTCGAAGTCGTTGTAGGTGCTGTGGTCGGGGTTGTTGGCTTTGTCCAGCAGCTCGATGGCCAGCGTCCTGCTCAGAGGCTGCGACACAAACGGGTGCTGGAAGACAGAAAAGAGAGAAAGAGGGAGTCGATTAGAGTGTTAAAAAAACACATTAATAACCTGAACTTTTAACGGTTGTAATGGTGAAGTGGGGAAAGCATCAGAGGTATGTTGAGCCTTAAGTCAGAGTTGTTAATGTCATGCTCTCTGTAAACCTGCTAGGTCACCATGGTAACACATGCTGCACAGCTAACCTGGTCCAAAGATGGTTATGTTCAGAATTTTATAATTAATTTGGCTCTAAGAAGTGTCTCCCTTTAAACAAGACATTTCCTAAGAATTTTCTCTCAGCGGTATAGATTCTCAGCTGAGGGAATGTGTTATATCCGCAAACCTGGTGAGCAGTACATTAGTGATCGACACCGAACAAAGCCGTACAATTACAGTTTCACACACTGTATGCATAAAGGTGTTTTTACGTTTGGTCTTAATTAGCTGCCAAGTCCATTTAGCACTGCTGGTAATAGAACACAGACTGGAAAACTGATCAGTCTGTTGGTATTTATCACAGAGAATAATCAGTCAGTAACAATATTTTAATTTGATTTGGCCAATAATTAAAGTGATGTTATTCATTATGGGACTGTGTCTGACCAAAATACACTTCATGTTTACATATATAAAGTTTAAGAGCTCTAAAGTGCAGCTGCCATGTTAGAAATAGATGTTTGCACTGACTGATAAGATAAATATATCAACACAAGATTGAATGTTTTCTACCAGCATTGCATGATTTGCAAGAGCAGCACTTTTAACTGCTATTTTTTATAAATTTTACAGCTTTCCATGATGACAACCTGTTCCTCTGACCAAAGCAGGCGGATCACGATTGGTACATTTTGTGCAGCAGAAGAGTCACATGACATGTCATGTGAACGCACAAAGTCTGAAGCAAGAAGAAAGCAGATAACCAGCGTTGTGAAACCCATTATCTTTGACTGAGATTAATTGATGACTAATTGTTTCAGCACTAGTGCCAATAACAGGTAGTGATTAAGTATGTCTACATTTATAGCCTGTCTTCCATTGTTTCGCTGCAGCTAATGTATAATAACTTTTTCCCACCTGAAGCACACACTTATATCTGCCCCAGTCACCTGATAGCTTTACTATTTTTATGAGACGTCTCATGGAATGAAAGAAAAAAAAAAAAAGGAGTCATTCAGATAAGATGCAGCAGCTCATCAGAGTGGAATATAAAAGGGAATCCACTTATTAGACAAGAACTGTAAGATGTGCGAGACAAGGTTACAGAGCGATGTGCCACCAGATGTACGGAGGGAATCTAATCTGGCTTGTATCCATTACATAACAAAATACTTGAGATGTGTAACTTTATCCAACTTGTTTATTTCAAAGAATTGTAAATATGTTGTTTACTAGCTCACCTGCAGCAGCTTCTCAGCGGTGGGCCTCTTCTTTGGGTTCTTGGTCAGGGCTAGTTTGACAAAATGGTGGAAGTTATTTGTCCTGTTTGTCCAGCAGAGAGAGAAGAAGACACAGAGAGCAAGACAAAAAGGTTAATATTGTGGGTCTGTAACAAGAGAGCATTGATCAAAGTGGGAAATCGTGAACGAGGTGGCGTCCTACCACTTGAGTTTATCTTTCAATTTAGGAGGCTGGAAATTACTCTTGGTCATTAGGAAGAGAGCCCTGCGAGGAAAAAAAAAACACAGAAAACGAATAAACTTCAAGTCTTAATGGTTATAAATGTTTTGTTTTATACAGTTTATATTGAAATTTCCTCACAACAAAGCACTGCTGCAGTCTAATCAACACGTATCATCTCTCAAAAAGCCGTATATAAATGAGGAAACTGACATTTTTCTTACTTGCACACATAAATATTAACATTATTGATCGATCAAACGGTGGATCGATTGAACGGATACCTCTGAGACATCGACCATTAGTGCCATACGGGCGTCTCTGCTCCCATCACCATGCATGTCACTGATTCGATTTTCATTCTAACGTCGTTTCACATCGACTGCGCGTCTACTCTGCTGTCATTGCACCATCCCCAACCGTGTACTCTGGCATCTAACAAAACCTGAAGCACTCCCCTACCTCATCGGGTGCAGGTCAAACATGGGCGGCTGCAGCTCAGCCAGCTCTATTGCAGTTATGCCCACAGCCCAGATATCGCACAGCTGGTTGTAACCGCCTTTCCTCTCCACAGCTGCTACCTCTGGAGCCATCCTATGGAGAAAGAAAGCGGCAGATGGTGAAAGAAAGAAAGAGAGGAGACAGAAGGAGGGCATGGAGGAAAACAAGGGAAGGATGATAGTAAAATGTGTGCCCTTTTTTTAAATACTCGGTACTAAAGTAGGTTAATTAAACAGCTACGCACAAGAACAGAATTTAAACTGTCTGCAGTATTTCCCAGCAGCAGCGCAGAGGGTTCCCACCGTGACCCTGATATGCAACTCTGACTTCTCTGTGACCCACAAATACTATTCATTCCTGGTTTTAGTTAGGTTGTGCCATGAGGTGAATCGTCTGGTTCTCCTATGTCTCAAGTGAAAACTTTCTGGAATATTTCACTTGCATGACACATCAGACATCAGCAAATTTACTGGATTCCCACATTTTCCCTCTAGAAGGATTTTATACCTTTGCTCAATCTGCATGCGTATCCATACGCAGCATCAAGAGAGCTGACGGAGAAAAACAAACAACTCACCAGTAAGGAGTTCCAATAAATGACTTCCTCTTGGCGAGGGTTGCTGTGATCTGGGCTGATACACCAAAGTCAGCTGAGGAGAGAAAACAGAAGGAGAACAGAAGAGAGAGAGAGCGAGAGCAGCAAAGAAAGAAACCAAGTCAGCAAATGAGGCCATTCAGATGCAGTCTTCTGAAGCAGAAGCTAATTGCGGAGGCTTTGCGTGTTCCTCTCACCTAGTTTGACATAGCCGTTGTCTGTCAGGAGGATGTTGGCTCCCTGCCGGAGACAAAAAAACATGCCGCGCATCAGCATCCGACACAAGAAATTACACTTCAGGTCGAGTCAAATTAACTTGAGAAGCGAATTCGGAGACGCGGGTTTATTGCAAAGCGGGTTCTCGCTGATCAATCTAAGCCGCCGTTGAGAATCGATGATCATTTTCAGCGTCATAAACACCAGCAGCTGTGTCTCCACGACAACACGGGGATCAATTTTCATTTTCGACATCACTGAACATACAGGCTTGTACTTTGGGTTGATTAAATCGCTGCTTTATCCACAGAATGCAAATGCACGATTACAATATTTCATTGATTTTCACATTTCACACTTAATAATTAGTGTGTTTTAACCTCAGACTGTTCGGCATCGATTAAGGAACTTTTTGAGGTTGTTGAGGATTAGACTAGGCTGTAAAGAGGTTCATAATATTTTGTCTACAACCAACAGCAAGCAGCATACACCACATTGAACGATGCTTTATTAATTTATAAGCTTCCCCGACATGCATGTTCTGCACACTGCTGTCTGCACTTACCTTAATGTCTCTGTGCATTTTGCCTTTGTTGTGTAGGTAGTATAAACCCTGTGAACAGAATCACACAGCAAACAGAAAACAATTGTTATCAGAAGTAAAATTCAAGTTTTTACTGTAAACGTTTCCTCATTAAACGAAAATCTAACTTCAGGGAGACAGGCTCGACTCGACTGACTCCCATGTACAGAGTCAACATTTTACAGCGCTTCCTCTTTGGAACGCAGCCCATCTTATTGAGACTGTCATCGATATGCTGCAGTTTCAAGGTGGAAACGCTCAGCCGTGGCCTCGACTGCTTATTTCACTCATTAAACGTCTTCCAGAACATAAAAACATACACCATATGGACATGCTGAAAGGGTAAAAATGTGATTACCACCAGAGGGGATCTTTAAAACCCTGAGTCAATTAACCGTTTGTGATTTTGGTATAATCAGTTCCAGTTGATCAAAGAATCAATCTCCCAAATATGCCTCTTTGTTTCATCAACAATATGCCAATACTGTCAATAAACACACTGCATACGTTACCTGCAGGGTCTCCCGTGACATGTAGGCGATCTGTGACTCCGACAAAGGCCCGGTTACTGGAGGAGTGACACGAGGAACAAAGACAGAAACACAAAGACGGAAAAGAGACGGACATCAAAGGGGGGAAAACAAAAAGAACCGATCAGTTAAGATCACAGTGCGGCCGAGCGTCTGTGTGCGTTTGGGTGCACGTCGTTCTTACCGTGATAGATGTCCTGCAGAGACCCTCCTCCACAGTACTCCATACTGATCCATAACTTATCTCTCCTGCACACACAACAACACAGTGCATCTTAATGCACGAGCTTTCATCTGTCTTTTATCGTCTCAGTGCCGCCAGATTATGCATTTTTCTCTCTCAGACACATACAGTATAAAGCAATAAACAATTCTTATTAATTGAAGTAAGCAGTCCAAAAAGTAGCTGAAATTTTACATATGAAAATCCTTTATTAACACAGGAATAATCAAAGCCAACCAATACTGACTTCCTTCCATTAGCATAGATTTTTTATTTTCTTCTCTTTTAAACGACCGATTTTATCGTTTTGGATCCACTGCAGCACTTTTCCTTCAATAAAATTACATGCTTTATTATCAACAGCTTGCACGTTAATAGCAAACATCAGCAAATATCGCACATCTGACACACACACACACACGCTCTCTCTCTTACCGGAGATAACTGCCAAAATAGGCGACGATATTGGAGTGTTTACAGTCCTTCATCATTATGATCTCCTGCTGGACCACGGCAAAGTCCTCACCTAGAGCCAACACATGCACACACCCACATTAATAAGAAGCTGATCGTTTTGTGTCCGTGCTGATGCTGTTGTTGTGCCAAACAAAGCGAGAGGAGAATTGGGTTTGTTCATCGTTTCGTGTACGTGTCAGTGTGTGCGTGTTTTGTGGGCGAAAGGCTAAGAGCGGCGTAATTGAAACAAGCAGCACAAACAGATGGAAAGCAGCAGCGGAGTGGGCCGCGCTTAAGTTTGAGTTCATCGCTTTAAGACCTAAACTGTTCGGCAATTAACAGCGTCATGACACGTTCCCACACTTGGTCTGTAACTTGTCAAGTAAGTTTCCTTTCTTAATAAAAGCAACGGCGGATGGAAACCAGCAAAAAAGGAATGAAAGGAAGAAAACGGGAAAGAGGTGAGAGTCGGTGAATGGAACAGAGTCCAATGAAGGACAAAAGCAATCATGTGTAGAAGACTTCTGGTAGGAAAAAGGGGAAGATTAGAGGATAACAGACAAAGTGGAATAAAAAAGGGAGATAAGGGAATAAAAGGAGTGATGAGCGAACTCACCCGGTTCCAGTTTGATGACTTTGATAGCAGCCAGCTCTCCTGTGTTTACGTTACGAGCCTAAAGGAGCGAAAGAAGGACAGTAAGTCATCGGAGGCTTTGAAACACACGGCGAACATTCAGCAATGTTGTTTATGTGACATCAAGACAGAGCAGAGAGAAACTACGCTTGTTCTCATCCAGATACAAAACACAAGCCTGCAAAAAGTCAGGAGAAGCCTATCATTCAGTAACACTGCCTCGCAGATGTAGAAATGGCTTTTACAAACATTTTATTGAAGCTGTAACGATTAATCAATTAATTGCAAACTATTAAATGACTCACCAACTTTTTTGACAATCAATTCATCAATATGAGCAACTTTTTCAAGAAAATAATTCCAAATTCTCTGAATCCAGCTTCTTAAACTTGACTTTTTTTGCTCCTCTATGACGAGAAAGTGAAAATATTCGGGTTGTGTACAAAATAAGACATTTGAGGTTATTATCTCGGGCTTTGACAAACACTGATGGACATTTTTTTTATCATTTTATAGACGTAAAAACTAATCGAATGAATGAGAAATTAACTAACGGATTATTACTAGCTGTAGTCCTTATTAAAACATGACACCTCACTCATTTCACTGGTGCAGAGGCCTCCATCAAAAGAAGAAGAGGAGGGAGAACAAACACGGGGAGGTCCGGCAGAAAAAGGTGAACCTGACTCAGCACTGCAATGCAACACCATAGCGGCAACACGGTGACTTCATAGGTCAGACACATGCGAGCATAAAACACATTCCTGCATTCCTTCTTAAGTATTCACAATTAAGGAAGACGTGATTGCAGAGGTAAGTTGCAAAAATCTGCGTTGCCAACTGATTATGTCGGCTTCTAATAAGCCTCAAAAATCTATTATTCGAGCTAATCTGGGTCATGTTTCGTCCTCCCACGGATACCTGAGGCAACACCCTCATCAACCCAACCCATCGCAATAAAGGTCACACCGCTATGATGGCGACACGACGGTTACACGCAGGGATGACGGCAGAGTTAAAGACATTTCAAAACGGCTGAATCCAGAAAACAATTATGCAATTCTTCATCACGTGCTGCAAGGATAATTTGCATTTTTGAGAATATCAGGCACTGATGCAACTTAAATATCCAACACACTGCTTGCACACATGACTTCACATCACCATAAAATCCAAACCGAGACGAGGAAGTGGTGGGTGACTGAGGAATGTATGGACTTCATCAGGAGATTGAGACAGTTTTTGCTTTATTCCTGAAAAGTTTCTCAGACAGCAGTTGGGGGGGATTTGTGGGATACAGAGGCTGATTTTCTATAAATAGCAAACCGTGTTTACATTTAGCTGCAGTGCTGGTGGGGCGGGGAGAGGAATTATATATGAAACATACATGAATAAAAGATGGCCTTTCAGAGGAGACATGAATTGCTTGCTTCACTCAGGCCAAGAATGTGCAAGCGTGACCGCCTGTGACATTGCAGAAGTACGAGCGAGTGCGAGGCCGAGCGAGACAGAGAAGTTCGCCGACTTTCAACATGAGAGACAAAAAGGACGTCCATACCGTGAACAGACAGAAAGTATTTCCTGATTCTACGGTTTCATTATTTCCAGTCTTGATAAAAAAGAAAGAAAGATGTAAACACCCACATCCACCCTGATTCTGGCTGCCGCCTCACAGGCGTATTTATCCAACACTGGAGGGGAAAAACCCGACATTTTACATTCCGGTTTGGTCACTTTGCTGGGAAGCGGTGGTCACAGATTGGAGGGTAAACTTTCTGTTTCATAAGCTTCCGGTGTTGGAGTCATTCCCAATTTGATATGGGCACTCCAGGAACTACATCCCTTTATAAAGAGTGTCAAAATGACAATATTTCACGTCAAATTTCATATTTTCTGTCTCTTTCATGTGCTGGAAAGACTGCCTAGTCAGCATGAGCAGTGACAGCCCCTATGGCTTTAAGAAAAAAAGTGTACATTGGAGCGCTGCCCACACAAGTGCACTGCAGACACACAACAACGATGAGGAGACAAAATAAAACTCAAGGATAACCACAGAAAAAAAACAACCTCCCTGTCGCATATGAAAAAGTGAATTTTTCATTTTGTCTAACCAGAGGACAAACGGCAGCTTCCTCAGCCGAAGTGCAAAATCAAGTGAGGAAGAAGAAGAAGAGGCAGAGGAGTCGACGGAGGCGAACCCACACCAAAACAAAGTGGTGGGAGGGCGGGAAGGACAAAGAGATGCAAAGAGAAAAGAAGGAGACAGAAGCAGAGTGGAGGCCAGAGACAGAGCGTCTTCAGTCAGCAGACAGACCAGAGATGACTCATATCGCTCAGCGCCGCCGTTAGTGGCAACAACACTCGGTCTGACGGGCTGAAGCCACCGGCTCAAGGTTTGATAATCGCTCCCAAAACGAAGGCAGAGAAAAGTCCTCGACCACAATCGTTAGGCAGATGGTCCGTGCTAATTGGAAACAAATCTACTCCAACCGGTGTGAAAACGCTTGGTCCGGTTCTTACATGACGCATGGACGATCTATTTCTCAGCGTAATAATGAAACTGCAGCAACTCAGAAGTGCAAACAATCCCTCCCTGGCATTCCAGAAAAATCCACTCAGCGATGGCTCAGACTGAATGAATTATCTGGTAAATCCCAATTAAAACAATGAAGCTGTTTCATATTTAAAGGTCGGAAAAATCCACTTATTTTTAATTTAATCCAGGTGAGCTCTCCAAACCTAACAGCTAAAATGTCAACCAAAAGCTGATGATGCCGAGTACGCGCTGACGAATAGAACTTACTTTACTCTTAAGTTTCAGTATCAACACTAAAATAATATGTTTTTGGATTGTGTTTTTTTTCCAGTTAAAAAAAAGGAAGCCACAGTTGTGCAGAAACTTAAAACTGATAAAAACAAATATGACTTAAATAAAAAGAAAACTGTTCTGATATTCCTGTTGTGACAGATAACAATCATAATGGCATTGATAATAACATTTGTATAAGAATAGTTCATCTTGACACCATAACTTCCCCGCTTCTGAAATAAAGAACACATTTAATGTATATTCAGTAGTGACTTAACAGGTTAGTTTTTAATATGTAGACTAACATCAGACTTTTTCTACTTTGCTATGAAGAGGAAATCAGCCAGAGGTGCAAACAGGAAGAAACTGTACGTCACTAATTGTTCAATTGTTAATAAAATGTGTCACCAATGCTGCTGAATTTCAAAGATTTAAAAGAACTGAACACGCAATAATCTTTATCCCTCATGTTTAGCGGCTTACATATGGAGCTGCAACGATGAAGGAACTGGTTGTCGACTATGAAATCAATTGCAAAACTATCTTTATAATAAATAAACTGACTTGAGTGTTTAAGAAAACTTCCCAGCTTCTTATGTTGAACTGTTTTCTTGACTTTTCTACCAAAGAAGGTGAATATATTTTGGGTTATGGACGAAACAAGACATTTGAGGACTTCATCTCCAACAACTAATCGATTAATTGGGAAAAACAAAACTGCCAGATGACTTGACAATGAAAACAGTCATTAGCTTATGTAACAGAGTTTTAAGCTCTGAGGTTGAATACTTTTTGCCAACTTCTTCTCCCCCAAAGCATGCATGTACACAGGTTTGTCTCTGGTTTTGTATTAAAGATCTACATATTTTGTAAGACGGTTGCTAATTATTTGGACTTTTGGTTGAACTGGGAGTTTCCGACCAATCCCAGAGCTCCAGCTGTGAGTCATAAGAAAAACTAGCTTTTAGTTCAGGAACCAAGAGGTGCCCCAAATTCATGCAAGTTGCAAATAGCACAGAGAAGTGGAATAATGTGGAGAAACCTGGCTGGCGTCCATCATTAGAGGCTCTATTAGGACGTGTACGTGTGCTTGTGTGTGTCATAAACTCAGCATATGGCCGGCTCAGTGGAGGATCAGTGGGGCATTTCATTTCACTCTCCTCTCCCTCGCAATTAATGTGCCTTCACTTTAGCTCCGACAGAACACGCTTGTACCATTCACAGTTAATCCTGTGTGATGGTAGTCTTGAGGGGTTAACTCCTGAGGAGGCGACGCCGATGGTTTAACTTACACGAGGTCAGGGGTCGTATCGGGGCAGCGGTGGTCCTCTGAGCTGCACAGAGTCACCTCGGGTCCCAGGTTCATGTTCAAGGCTTCATAAACCTATACCTAACCTATTTACAAGCAAATGGAATCAGCTGGGGAATATAGTTTAGATACCAAATGAGCTGACAAATAGTCTTATATGCAATTTCAGTAAATGTGAAGTAAAAGTGGCAAACATTCCTGCCACCTCTTCTCCTCTCACGTGTCAGATGTTATTTACAAAAAGCTGCTGGCTGAAACTTCTCACACTCACTTATCATCTTATCGTCGATCTAAATCACATTTTCTAACTCTTATTCCAACACACACAAGCTCACCATTATTCCTAACACCTAGCACACCTCCATGTAGGAGCAGTGCAGCATAACCAGCTGCTGAGGCCTGGCCTGGGGCGGTAACACATGAGCCATTTACTCCCCCCAACAAGATCTCCCCAAGAGATCTGAGGTGTCTTTCCGAATCGACAACATGCTTCTCTGACCTTTACGACAATCAATGCATTAAGTCTGACTTCAGAACTTCTGCTTTCCTTCCGCTCAATACATGACATGACATAACGGCAGCAACATGCGTTTCCCAATTTACATATTATTTCTTGAAACGATCTGAACTCAAACTTTTTGTCAACTAACTTCATACGTCTTTGCACCCCCAAAACTTATTCCAAAAATACATTAACTCCAAGCTCAAAACAAAACCCTTTCTGTCACTTTTGAAGCATTTTGAAACAGGATTTTTCCACAAGACTTTACCAACCTGTACATTGCATAACCCAGTGAAGCCTCGTCGCTTTTCAAAGCAAAGGAAGGTAATCTTTCTAATGCTGTCATCGAATAATTAGCTACAAGTTGAGGGGACAACCATTGCTAGATATGAGCATATTTAATTAGCATGAGAACTGCGCTCATAAACAGACAGTTTTGGAAGTCAAACTGGTGAAGGTGCGACTCTCCGTTTGTTTTTCCAGGCGGCTCGGTCTTAACTACATGTCTCAGCCTACACAAAGGCACAAGCCCCCAGGAGGGGAACAGGTGAGGTGAAAGCTGAATGCGGCGGAGTGTGTTTAATTACCACACCTGTCTTTTAACAAAATACCCACTCGCTCAAGCGAAACGCCCAGAAATGCGCACACACACACACANGACGGGGTGGAAGTGTCCAGAACACACAGGCAGTACTTGGCTGCTGATGCTAGTTTAGTTAGCGCTCACACTTCTGTTCTATTATTTCTGTAGGCAGTGACCGATGTGGACAAAATCCTGGTGTGATATCTGTACATAAAACCACAATGTGAACGCAGCGTTGTGTCAGAAACATTTCCAGAGACGATGGCATAAAGCATGCAAGAGGACAGTGAAAATGAAAAAAAATAAAGAGATGAACACTGCAGAGACACTCCCACATACGAACAAGGCCTCATGTGAGAGGTTAGAAAAAGAGAGACACACATTCTGTAGAGAGAGATGTCAGACATATGGCCAGCAAACATCACACACAATACAGCAAACACTGAAAGGTGGAGTGTGTGTGTCTGTAAATCTGGATGTGAGTGCTGTTCTGAGTAGGAATGTCTTTAAAATCCTCGCCGATCTGAACTGAATCTGACCCTCGACCTTCCTCTGTTTGTTTGTTTGCGTGTGAATGTGTATGCATATATGAAAACAACAACATCACTAAAGACTCTTATCACCATGACGACTACAACACCAGTTAGTGAGCAAAAAAAAAAAAGAAAAAAAAGCCAGAGCTGGAAAACGAAGAAGAAGAAAAAAAATGAACAGCGACAGATGGACGGACCAGAATAGATGCATCAACACTGTGAAAATTAACAAAAAATACATGTCGGAAGTCGAGCAGCCAAAACAGAATCTGAAAAAAACAGAACGAGTAACAGAGACGACGGCGAGGGCTGGGAAGGCAAGAGAGCCAGAGGAGGGACGAGAAGGGCTCGTCCTGCAGAGACAGATACATGGCGAGCAAGAGGAAGAGGAGGCATGAGGCTAGAAATGAAGACAGATTGGAAATAAAAAAATGAAAAAACAAAAAAAAAGGCCAATATAGGTGGACAGAGAGAGAAAGAGGTTGAAGACAGAGAGAGAGAGAGAGACAGAAGGAGTACTACCAGATTAGATCTCGCGGTATAGTAGAGCTCCTCAACACAGTCCAGATAGGGCTCAGAATCACACTGGTCAGCAAGACAGAGCGAGAGAGACCTTAGTTAATACATTAACCTGGACTGATGGAGGGAACAGGGAGGAATGGAGACATGGAGGCGAGAGAGAGAACGAGAGAGACAGAGGAGGACGATGGGTGAAAAATGGATTAAAGCCAAAAATAGGTTTTTAGAAGATCATGGATCAGCAAGACAGAGGCGGAGGGTACGGGGGTATTAATCTCGAGAGAAGAGGGGATGGATGGGAGCAGATGGGGGTTAAAAATCAGCAAAAAAACTCAAGAGGAGAGGCATTAACAAATTGCATTAATATATCATATAAAAATACAAAATGAATAGCTCATGTGTGATGGCAGCTGGATTCTCAGTGGTGTTTCTTTGAATTAAAACCACTTATTACCTTAATTAGTGTCATTATGGTTGATTTTTGGCCAGACTAGGAAATAAATACCTCAAAAAGGCCATCGTATGCAGCTGCTCGTCTTTTTAAAGTTGCGTTATTAATATAAAATGTGGTTTATTGATTTGAAAATGCTACAAATAGCAGCACAGTCCCGTATGGATCAACCTCTGAGAGCTAAAAGCCAAAGAGAACACATGCTGTTACGTCTTTAAGAAGAGAAATCGAAGGACGTCGGGATGATTGCTGATGGACGCTACAAAGACCTACACTGGTGATTATGTTTGATGATCTAAATGGATAAAGAGACGGAGGGCAGAAGAAGGATTTCATTTGATCTTGGGGTGAATTTCAATTTAAAGAGAGGGGGTGTGTTAAAAGGGAAAGTGCAGAGGAAGGCAAAAAAGTGAGGGAGGACTAACAACACATTGTGATGGTGCCTGAACCCTGCGCCATCCCCATCCGTCCACTAGCAACTTTCATCTGACAATAGCACAATCAGCTTTAGTGTCTAACATAAAAAGTCAGTGTACCAAGCAAGCATGGCTCAACCAAGACGCATTTTAAAAGCTAGAGTTGAGTTTTTGAAGAAAACCGAACAACAAAGCTAAAATCTGGCCAACATAATCAAACAATGTTCGCGCTAGCAAGAAGTAGGGATCCATTGTCTGCAGTTCTAAATCTATCTAATCTGTCGAAGATCGTAGCGAGTGCATCCAGGGGGATACGTGATCACTGATGCTTATATACAAGGAGACACTATGGCTATACAGCTAATGTGTCACGGCTGCCTTTTGGCTGTCAGGCAGTGACTATGGCATATACAGGTATGATGCTGTTATGTTTTCATGCAAATGCATCCATACAGCCTCCGTTTATTGTTCAAAAGGCCCAGGTCTGGGTCACGAGGCAAGAGGCAAAATCGCTCAGGTGTAACTCTACACCAGGGATCTCCAACTCCGGTCCTCGTGAGCTACTGTCCTGCAGGTTTTGGATGTTTCCATAATGCAATAGATCATTAATGGATCATTAAGAGACTTGTGTAGAACTTGACAACAAGCTGCTGGAGATCCATTAATGTGAGTCAGGTGTGTTCCAGAAGGGAAACATCTAAAACGTGCAGGACAGTAGCTCAAGAGGACCAGAGTTGGAGATCCCTGCTCTATAGAGACACACTAAAGGAAATATAGGCAAGTCTTGCCACTCAGAAGCTAACTTGGCAACACCATCAGGCAGGTATTTTTGGGCTAATGAGACAAGACATCTATCTAAATGAAGGAGTCGAGAGCCATAAGTGAAGTTTTAATGGTCACCATGACATAAAGAGTATGTACAGATACAACTCTCAAAAATCACAAAAAAACGCTTCAAAAGTTTGGCGACTTTGGCCCAAAATAAGGTTTAAAAAGCATGTTCTTCCGGAAGTTATACCTCTACTACACATGCGCACGGTTTCATGACTGTATGAGTCAATGCAAAGACACGATAAAGCAGACGACGGGGTTTCTGGGGCGACGGATGGAACATCTGTAACTGCCATCTTTGGCATTATGGAATTCTCCCATAAATTCCTATTCAGGATTCTTTAAGTCTCTCCAATATTTCGACTCTGGCCTCAGACCTTCAGCATTTACAGAAGGACAAGGAAGTACTCTAGACCATTTGGGACACATAATCTCACCAGCATGCATTTAGGTGGTACCAGAGTCTCCTCCAGTAGGATATGGCCAGAATTCCTACACTGATTTAACCTCACCTCTGATCTAAAAAACCAAGTGGAAAAGCAATCAGACGGTTTCTATAAAACCTGCATTTACAATATTCTTTCTGTCACTGGTGTTCTTCTATTATTGAACCAAGTCTGCCTAATTTTGAGCAAACTAGTCACACAAGATGCTTCCTAACGTTCGACGACTGACAGGGATGGGGATCGAAATACTCTAAAAGCTACTAAATATTCAAACACTTCAAAGTGAACTGTGTGGATGGGCTTCATGTTCGGTTCGACACAGATTGAAAAGGACTGATTGGGTAAGGATCAGCCATGCTGGTATTGGTGAAATGACAATCACACAAATCTCATTCGCACACATGTAAACAAACGCGACGTCTAATGACTCACCGGTTCATGATGGGGTTCTGTCTCCTTCCTCAGTGGAGGATCAAACTTCACCTGACCAACTGAGAGGGATAAAGAAAGAGACAGACAGACAGGAAAACAGGGAACATATGAGTTGGGGAGATATATATATATATATATAGAGTCAGACTTTCCAAACCTGAATGTATTTGTCTGTGTTGTGGGGACTCACAGTTAATCTCAGACAGTGTCTTTCCTTCTCTGGTGCTCCTGCTGGTGGAGCGGATGCGATGGGGAACAGAGACCGGAGACTATCAGGAAAGAGAAGGAGACGCACACAGTCAAAAAAAAAAGCTGTTCAAAGATTACACACAGCGTCGTGGTCGACACAGGACCCGAGAAGATTACAATAGGTTTAAAAAAAACCATAATCCCTCTGCTATTTCCTGTGGGTGGGATTTGATGACACAGCAAAACAGGCAGCCGCGCACTGCAACGACACGACCAAAACATAACAACAGAGCCGGAGGAAAACACAAAACCTTCCCTGGCAACGACGTCGACGCTTCGATCTGCGTGTCGCCTCACCGAGACCCCTGTAAGCTCCTGATACTCCTGGTGGAGTCTGTGAGTGTTTTCCAGTACCTCAGACACATGTTTTGTTTAATTATAGGTGACATTTATGGTAAAACCCACAACCTCAAAACACAATCCACTGACCTGCTCCCAAGTCAACCGCTAAACATGATGCTGGCTCTTTGTCATCCAGCTTATTTACTGTTTCATGCTACTTTGCAAATTAAACCGCGGCAGTTTGTACAGTGATGCTTTATTTCCAAAGATTTAAAACTGACTTCATGCCTCAAGCATTCGATCTTAAGATCATAGAAAAGTTTAAAAAAACACAGCAACCTCAAACCATGCTCGTAAAGCGCTGGAAAAGACAAACCAAATGCGTCCATCAAAGCCACATTCGTAGCTTAGACCTACTGATAAATCTGTCAATGCAAAAAAAAACACCTCCAATGCCATTCTTGTAACACACATCCTGAAGTTAGTAACTGCAAAGGCAAAGGTAGATGAAGATGGCTTCCGTGAGTGCAAATGTACGCAGCATTTCCAAACCACCAAACGGAGAAACAATCCCCAGAACTATATTAAACCGTCTGGACTGCTTGATGGGATTACACGTGTCATTGATTTCCAATAGCTTCCTGAACTGCAGAATCGAGGTTTTCATTTTCAAAGTCAAAACCGCCGCTTGTGTGAATAAGAAACGAGCTATAATGGCGACACTGTGGGTTCGCAAATGCATTAGACCTGGATGTGGTTTGGGATGCGATATTCTCGGGCGCGTGACATTGTGATGCCCTGGAAGCCATCTTTATAAACCCAGACGTTCATTTCTTTATCGTCCCAGCTGGCTGCCGCAGAACTGGAATGAATTGAGATGAGATTAGGTGATATTACTCACTGATCTGCTTCGGTTTGGCTATTGTGGCTGCCAAATAATCTCGCTGATGTTGTCATGGAAGCAAGCGATATCGCTTTTGTGTGTCGCTGAAGCTGTGATGTACATTTAAACTACATAGAAACCATAAAAACAATTGTCAAATCAATAAATTCAACAAGTATCTTCTTTATTATGCCCAAACTTTAAGCATCTCGTCTAGTTCGCGGGCATAAAGTCCTATAAAATTGTGGTATAAATCAAAACCTATACTGTGTTGTGAAGACGTTCAACTAGTTTAAGAGCAATATATTCGTTTCTGTCCCTCTTCTGTAAGTTTTCATCCACTTTATGACTTCTAACCTTTAAGGACACGTCACTGAAGTGGTACAAAACTGGTTGATTCTGTCATTTTTAACAGAGAAAACTGAGGATATAAAATCAGCTGAGGTGCAAAACAAAAGCACGAACGTTACACATGCTCACTGGCATGTCAAACTAATTATGCAACAGCCCTGGTAATCCGTCAACTGCCTGAATGTCACATGCCGATGCCAACTTCCATGACAACGCCAGCAGACGCTGAATTGAAAGGAAATCTATTCATTCAGTTCTGTCGTCCTCCTCCGAGCGAAAAAACAACTGGCACAACGGTTTGTGTTAGAATGACATCACTGCAGACACACTGCAGCCGACGCTGGTACCTTCCTACGGGCCGCAAAACGGGGTGCGCGTCGAGCGCCGGGGCTTATGGGTAGGAAATGACCCCTGTACTTAAACTGAGGAGGAGGAGGAGATAGAGAACGGAGGGAGGGAGACAAGAGGACAAGAGAAAACAAGGAAAGGAGACAGAAAGAGAGGAGAAAGGCGGAGAGAGAAAGGAGAAGTGCTACAAGGAGGAAAAGAAGAGGAAACCGAACCTCAAGAAAAGTGAAATGAGAAACAAATAGGAGAAGGGAGGCGACAGAGGAAACGGAGGGAGGAGAAAGAAGGAGAAGGGGAAAGACAAAGAGCAGAAAGATGAGTCACATGTGCCGAGGAAAGGAAGGACCGAGTGGAATGGTGGTTAGATAGAGAAGGGATTTAACGGAAGAGGAGACAGAGAGACGCGATTTAGGGGGGGAAGAAAAGATCCTGCGAAACACCTCCTGAGAAGGTCAGTGGTTACCTCAGGCTCGGGGTCGTCGTCGTCGAAGTCGTTGTAGGTGCTGTGGTCGGGGTTGTTGGCTTTGTCCAGCAGCTCGATGGCCAGCGTCCTGCTCAGAGGCTGCGACACAAACGGGTGCTGGAAGACAGAAAAGAGAGAAAGAGGGAGTCGATTAGAGTGTTAAAAAAACACATTAATAACCTGAACTTTTAACGGTTGTAATGGTGAAGTGGGGAAAGCATCAGAGGTATGTTGAGCCTTAAGTCAGAGTTGTTAATGTCATGCTCTCTGTAAACCTGCTAGGTCACCATGGTAACACATGCTGCACAGCTAACCTGGTCCAAAGATGGTTATGTTCAGAATTTTATAATTAATTTGGCTCTAAGAAGTGTCTCCCTTTAAACAAGACATTTCCTAAGAATTTTCTCTCAGCGGTATAGATTCTCAGCTGAGGGAATGTGTTATATCCGCAAACCTGGTGAGCAGTACATTAGTGATCGACACCGAACAAAGCCGTACAATTACAGTTTCACACACTGTATGCATAAAGGTGTTTTTACGTTTGGTCTTAATTAGCTGCCAAGTCCATTTAGCACTGCTGGTAATAGAACACAGACTGGAAAACTGATCAGTCTGTTGGTATTTATCACAGAGAATAATCAGTCAGTAACAATATTTTAATTTGATTTGGCCAATAATTAAAGTGATGTTATTCATTATGGGACTGTGTCTGACCTAAATACATTTCATGTTTACATATATAAATTTTAAGAGCTCTAAAGTGCAGCTGCCATGTTAGAAATAGACGTTTGCACTGACTGATAAGATAAATATATCAACACAAGATTGAATGCTTTCTACCAGCATTGCATGATTTGCAAGAGCAGCACTTTTAACTGCTATTTTTTATAAATTTTACAGCTTTCCATGATGACGACCTGTTCCTCTGACCAAAGCAGGCGGCTCACGATTGGTACATTTTGTGCAGCAGAGGAGTCACGTGACGTGTCATGTGAACGCACAAAGTCTGAAGCAGGAAGAAAGCAGATAACCAGCGTTGTGAAACCCATTATCTTTGACTGAGATTAATTGATGACTAATTGTTTCAGCACTAGTGCCAATAACAGGTAGTGATTAAGTATGTCTACATTTATAGCCTGTCTTCCATTGTTTCGCTGCAGCTAATGTATAATAACTTTTTCCCACCTGAAGCACACACTTATATCTGCCCCAGTCACCTGATAGCTTTACTATTTTTATGAGACGTCTCATGGAATGAAAGAAAAAAAAAAAAAGGAGTCATTCAGATAAGATGCAGCAGCTCATCAGAGTGGAATATAAAAGGGAATCCACTTATTAGACAAGAACTGTAAGATGTGCGAGACAAGGTTACAGAGCGATGTGCCACCAGATGTACGGAGGGAATCTAATCTGGCTTGTATCCATTACATAACAAAATACTTGAGATGTGTAACTTTATCCAACTTGTTTATTTCAAAGAATTGTAAATATGTTGTTTACTAGCTCACCTGCAGCAGCTTCTCAGCGGTGGGCCTCTTCTTTGGGTTCTTGGTCAGGGCTAGTTTGACAAAATGGTGGAAGTTATTTGTCCTGTTTGTCCAGCAGAGAGAGAAGAAGACACAGAGAGCAAGACAAAAAGGTTAATATTGTGGGTCTGTAACAAGAGAGCATTGATCAAAGTGGGAAATCGTGAACGAGGTGGCGTCCTACCACTTGAGTTTATCTTTCAATTTAGGAGGCTGGAAATTACTCTTGGTCATTAGGAAGAGAGCCCTGCGAGGAAAAAAAAAACACAGAAAACGAATAAACTTCAAGTCTTAACGGTTATAAATGTTTTGTTTTATACAGTTTATATTGAAATTTCCTCACACCAAAGCACTGCTGCAGTCTAATCAGCACGTATCATCTCTGAAAAAGCTGTATTTAAATGAGGAAACTGCCGTTTTTCTTACTTGCACACATAAATATTAACATTATTGATCGATCAAACGGTGGATCGATTGAACGGATACCTTTGAGACATCGACCATTAGTGCCATACGGGCGTCTCTGCTCCCATCACCATGCATGTCACTGATTCGATTTTCATTCTAACGTCGTTTCACATCGACTGCGCGTCTACTCTGCTGTCATTGCACCATCCCCAACCGTGTACTCTGGCATCTAACAACACCTGAAGCACTCCCCTACCTCATCGGGTGCAGGTCAAACATGGGCGGCTGCAGCTCAGCCAGCTCTATTGCAGTTATGCCCACAGCCCAGATATCGCACAGCTGGTTGTAGCCGCCTTTCCTCTCCACAGCTGCTACCTCTGGAGCCATCCTATGGAGAAAGAAAGCGACAGATGGTGAAAGAAAGAAAGAGAGGAGACAGAAGGAGGGCATGGAGGAAAACAAGGGAAGGATGATAGTAAAATGTGTGCCCTTTTTTTAAATACTCGGTACTAAAGTAGGTTAATTAAACAGCTACGCACAAGAACAGAATTTAAACTGTCTGCAGTATTTCCCAGCAGCAGCGCAGAGGGTTCCCACCGTGACCCTGATATGCAACTCTGACTTCTCTGTGACCCACAAATACTATTCATTCCTGGTTTTAGTTAGGTTGTGCCATGAGGTGAATCGTCTGGTTCTCCTATGTCTCAAGTGAAAACTTTCTGGAATATTTCACTTGCATGACACATCAGACATCAGCAAATTTACTGGATTCCCACATTTTCCCTCTAGAAGGATTTTATACCTTTGCTCAATCTGCATGCGTATCCATACGCAGCATCAAGAGAGCTGACGGAGAAAAACAAACAACTCACCAGTAAGGAGTTCCAATAAATGACTTCCTCTTGGCGAGGGTTGCTGTGATCTGGGCTGATACACCAAAGTCAGCTGAGGAGAGAAAACAGAAGGAGAACAGAAGAGAGAGAGAGCGAGAGCAGCAAAGAAAGAAACCAAGTCAGCAAATGAGGCCATTCAGATGCAGTCTTCTGAAGCAGAAGCTAATTGCGGAGGCTTTGCGTGTTCCTCTCACCTAGTTTGACATAGCCGTTGTCTGTCAGGAGGATGTTGGCTCCCTGCCGGAGACAAAAAAACATGCCGCGCATCAGCATCCGACACAAGAAATTACACTTCAGGTCGAGTCAAATTAACTTGAGAAGCGAATTCGGAGACGCGGGTTTATTGCAAAGCGGGTTCTCGCTGATCAATCTAAGCCGCCGTTGAGAATCGATGATCATTTTCAGCGTCATAAACACCAGCAGCTGTGTCTCCACGACAACACGGGGATCAATTTTCATTTTCGACATCACTGAACATACAGGCTTGTACTTTGGGTTGATTAAATCGCTGCTTTATCCACAGAATGCAAATGCACGATTACAATATTTCATTGATTTTCACATTTCACACTTAATAATTAGTGTGTTTTAACCTCAGACTGTTCGGCATCGATTAAGGAACTTTTTGAGGTTGTTGAGGATTAGACTAGGCTGTAAAGAGGTTCATAATATTTTGTCTACAACCAACAGCAAGCAGCATACACCACATTGAACGATGCTTTATTAATTTATAAGCTTCCCCGACATGCATGTTCTGCACACTGCTGTCTGCACTTACCTTAATGTCTCTGTGCATTTTGCCTTTGTTGTGTAGGTAGTATAAACCCTGTGAACAGAATCACACAGCAAACAGAAAACAATTGTTATCAGAAGTAAAATTCAAGTTTTTACTGTAAACGTTTCCTCATTAAACGAAAATCTAACTTCAGGGAGACAGGCTCGACTCGACTGACTCCCATGTACAGAGTCAACATTTTACAGCGCTTCCTCTTTGGAACGCAGCCCATCTTATTGAGACTGTCATCGATATGCTGCAGTTTCAAGGTGGAAACGCTCAGCCGTGGCCTCGACTGCTTATTTCACTCATTAAACGTCTTCCAGAACATAAAAACATACACCATATGGACATGCTGAAAGGGTAAAAATGTGATTACCACCAGAGGGGATCTTTAAAACCCTGAGTCAATTAACCGTTTGTGATTTTGGTATAATCAGTTCCAGTTGATCAAAGAATCAATCTCCCAAATATGCCTCTTTGTTTCATCAACAATATGCCAATACTGTCAATAAACACACTGCATACGTTACCTGCAGGGTCTCCCGTGACATGTAGGCGATCTGTGACTCCGACAAAGGCCCGGTTACTGGAGGAGTGACACGAGGAACAAAGACAGAAACACAAAGACGGAAAAGAGACGGACATCAAAGGGGGGAAAACAAAAAGAACCGATCAGTTAAGATCACAGTGCGGCCGAGCGTCTGTGTGCGTTTGGGTGCACGTCGTTCTTACCGTGATAGATGTCCTGCAGAGACCCTCCTCCACAGTACTCCATACTGATCCATAACTTATCTCTCCTGCACACACAACAACACAGTGCATCTTAATGCACGAGCTTTCATCTGTCTTTTATCGTCTCAGTGCCGCCAGATTATGCATTTTTCTCTCTCAGACACATACAGTATAAAGCAATAAACAATTCTTATTAATTGAAGTAAGCAGTCCAAAAAGTAGCTGAAATTTTACATATGAAAATCCTTTATTAACACAGGAATAATCAAAGCCAACCAATACTGACTTCCTTCCATTAGCATAGATTTTTTATTTTCTTCTCTTTTAAACGACCGATTTTATCGTTTTGGATCCACTGCAGCACTTTTCCTTCAATAAAATTACATGCTTTATTATCAACAGCTTGCACGTTAATAGCAAACATCAGCAAATATCGCACATCTGACACACACACACACACGCTCTCTCTCTTACCGGAGATAACTGCCAAAATAGGCGACGATATTGGAGTGTTTACAGTCCTTCATCATTATGATCTCCTGCTGGACCACGGCAAAGTCCTCACCTAGAGCCAACACATGCACACACCCACATTAATAAGAAGCTGATCGTTTTGTGTCCGTGCTGATGCTGTTGTTGTGCCAAACAAAGCGAGAGGAGAATTGGGTTTGTTCATCGTTTCGTGTACGTGTCAGTGTGTGCGTGTTTTGTGGGCGAAAGGCTAAGAGCGGCGTAATTGAAACAAGCAGCACAAACAGATGGAAAGCAGCAGCGGAGTGGGCCGCGCTTAAGTTTGAGTTCATCGCTTTAAGACCTAAACTGTTCGGCAATTAACAGCGTCATGACACGTTCCCACACTTGGTCTGTAACTTGTCAAGTAAGTTTCCTTTCTTAATAAAAGCAACGGCGGATGGAAACCAGCAAAAAAGGAATGAAAGGAAGAAAACGGGAAAGAGGTGAGAGTCGGTGAATGGAACAGAGTCCAATGAAGGACAAAAGCAATCATGTGTAGAAGACTTCTGGTAGGAAAAAGGGGAAGATTAGAGGATAACAGACAAAGTGGAATAAAAAAGGGAGATAAGGGAATAAAAGGAGTGATGAGCGAACTCACCCGGTTCCAGTTTGATGACTTTGATAGCAGCCAGCTCTCCTGTGTTTACGTTACGAGCCTAAAGGAGCGAAAGAAGGACAGTAAGTCATCGGAGGCTTTGAAACACACGGCGAACATTCAGCAATGTTGTTTATGTGACATCAAGACAGAGCAGAGAGAAACTACGCTTGTTCTCATCCAGATACAAAACACAAGCCTGCAAAAAGTCAGGAGAAGCCTATCATTCAGTAACACTGCCTCGCAGATGTAGAAATGGCTTTTACAAACATTTTATTGAAGCTGTAACGATTAATCAATTAATTGCAAACTATTAAATGACTCACCAACTTTTTTGACAATCAATTCATCAATATGAGCAACTTTTTCAAGAAAATAATTCCAAATTCTCTGAATCCAGCTTCTTAAACTTGACTTTTTTTGCTCCTCTATGACGAGAAAGTGAAAATATTCGGGTTGTGTACAAAATAAGACATTTGAGGTTATTATCTCGGGCTTTGACAAACACTGATGGACATTTTTTTTATCATTTTATAGACGTAAAAACTAATCGAATGAATGAGAAATTAACTAACGGATTATTACTAGCTGTAGTCCTTATTAAAACATGACACCTCACTCATTTCACTGGTGCAGAGGCCTCCATCAAAAGAAGAAGAGGAGGGAGAACAAACACGGGGAGGTCCGGCAGAAAAAGGTGAACCTGACTCAGCACTGCAATGCAACACCATAGCGGCAACACGGTGACTTCATAGGTCAGACACATGCGAGCATAAAACACATTCCTGCATTCCTTCTTAAGTATTCACAATTAAGGAAGACGTGATTGCAGAGGTAAGTTGCAAAAATCTGCGTTGCCAACTGATTATGTCGGCTTCTAATAAGCCTCAAAAATCTATTATTCGAGCTAATCTGGGTCATGTTTCGTCCTCCCACGGATACCTGAGGCAACACCCTCATCAACCCAACCCATCGCAATAAAGGTCACACCGCTATGATGGCGACACGACGGTTACACGCAGGGATGACGGCAGAGTTAAAGACATTTCAAAACGGCTGAATCCAGAAAACAATTATGCAATTCTTCATCACGTGCTGCAAGGATAATTTGCATTTTTGAGAATATCAGGCACTGATGCAACTTAAATATCCAACACACTGCTTGCACACATGACTTCACATCACCATAAAATCCAAACCGAGACGAGGAAGTGGTGGGTGACTGAGGAATGTATGGACTTCATCAGGAGATTGAGACAGTTTTTGCTTTATTCCTGAAAAGTTTCTCAGACAGCAGTTGGGGGGGATTTGTGGGATACAGAGGCTGATTTTCTATAAATAGCAAACCGTGTTTACATTTAGCTGCAGTGCTGGTGGGGCGGGGAGAGGAATTATATATGAAACATACATGAATAAAAGATGGCCTTTCAGAGGAGACATGAATTGCTTGCTTCACTCAGGCCAAGAATGTGCAAGCGTGACCGCCTGTGACATTGCAGAAGTACGAGCGAGTGCGAGGCCGAGCGAGACAGAGAAGTTCGCCGACTTTCAACATGAGAGACAAAAAGGACGTCCATACCGTGAACAGACAGAAAGTATTTCCTGATTCTACGGTTTCATTATTTCCAGTCTTGATAAAAAAGAAAGAAAGATGTAAACACCCACATCCACCCTGATTCTGGCTGCCGCCTCACAGGCGTATTTATCCAACACTGGAGGGGAAAAACCCGACATTTTACATTCCGGTTTGGTCACTTTGCTGGGAAGCGGTGGTCACAGATTGGAGGGTAAACTTTCTGTTTCATAAGCTTCCGGTGTTGGAGTCATTCCCAATTTGATATGGGCACTCCAGGAACTACATCCCTTTATAAAGAGTGTCAAAATGACAATATTTCACGTCAAATTTCATATTTTCTGTCTCTTTCATGTGCTGGAAAGACTGCCTAGTCAGCATGAGCAGTGACAGCCCCTATGGCTTTAAGAAAAAAAGTGTACATTGGAGCGCTGCCCACACAAGTGCACTGCAGACACACAACAACGATGAGGAGACAAAATAAAACTCAAGGATAACCACAGAAAAAAAACAACCTCCCTGTCGCATATGAAAAAGTGAATTTTTCATTTTGTCTAACCAGAGGACAAACGGCAGCTTCCTCAGCCGAAGTGCAAAATCAAGTGAGGAAGAAGAAGAAGAGGCAGAGGAGTCGACGGAGGCGAACCCACACCAAAACAAAGTGGTGGGAGGGCGGGAAGGACAAAGAGATGCAAAGAGAAAAGAAGGAGACAGAAGCAGAGTGGAGGCCAGAGACAGAGCGTCTTCAGTCAGCAGACAGACCAGAGATGACTCATATCGCTCAGCGCCGCCGTTAGTGGCAACAACACTCGGTCTGACGGGCTGAAGCCACCGGCTCAAGGTTTGATAATCGCTCCCAAAACGAAGGCAGAGAAAAGTCCTCGACCACAATCGTTAGGCAGATGGTCCGTGCTAATTGGAAACAAATCTACTCCAACCGGTGTGAAAACGCTTGGTCCGGTTCTTACATGACGCATGGACGATCTATTTCTCAGCGTAATAATGAAACTGCAGCAACTCAGAAGTGCAAACAATCCCTCCCTGGCATTCCAGAAAAATCCACTCAGCGATGGCTCAGACTGAATGAATTATCTGGTAAATCCCAATTAAAACAATGAAGCTGTTTCATATTTAAAGGTCGGAAAAATCCACTTATTTTTAATTTAATCCAGGTGAGCTCTCCAAACCTAACAGCTAAAATGTCAACCAAAAGCTGATGATGCCGAGTACGCGCTGACGAATAGAACTTACTTTACTCTTAAGTTTCAGTATCAACACTAAAATAATATGTTTTTGGATTGTGTTTTTTTTCCAGTTAAAAAAAAGGAAGCCACAGTTGTGCAGAAACTTAAAACTGATAAAAACAAATATGACTTAAATAAAAAGAAAACTGTTCTGATATTCCTGTTGTGACAGATAACAATCATAATGGCATTGATAATAACATTTGTATAAGAATAGTTCATCTTGACACCATAACTTCCCCGCTTCTGAAATAAAGAACACATTTAATGTATATTCAGTAGTGACTTAACAGGTTAGTTTTTAATATGTAGACTAACATCAGACTTTTTCTACTTTGCTATGAAGAGGAAATCAGCCAGAGGTGCAAACAGGAAGAAACTGTACGTCACTAATTGTTCAATTGTTAATAAAATGTGTCACCAATGCTGCTGAATTTCAAAGATTTAAAAGAACTGAACACGCAATAATCTTTATCCCTCATGTTTAGCGGCTTACATATGGAGCTGCAACGATGAAGGAACTGGTTGTCGACTATGAAATCAATTGCAAAACTATCTTTATAATAAATAAACTGACTTGAGTGTTTAAGAAAACTTCCCAGCTTCTTATGTTGAACTGTTTTCTTGACTTTTCTACCAAAGAAGGTGAATATATTTTGGGTTATGGACGAAACAAGACATTTGAGGACTTCATCTCCAACAACTAATCGATTAATTGGGAAAAACAAAACTGCCAGATGACTTGACAATGAAAACAGTCATTAGCTTATGTAACAGAGTTTTAAGCTCTGAGGTTGAATACTTTTTGCCAACTTCTTCTCCCCCAAAGCATGCATGTACACAGGTTTGTCTCTGGTTTTGTATTAAAGATCTACATATTTTGTAAGACGGTTGCTAATTATTTGGACTTTTGGTTGAACTGGGAGTTTCCGACCAATCCCAGAGCTCCAGCTGTGAGTCATAAGAAAAACTAGCTTTTAGTTCAGGAACCAAGAGGTGCCCCAAATTCATGCAAGTTGCAAATAGCACAGAGAAGTGGAATAATGTGGAGAAACCTGGCTGGCGTCCATCATTAGAGGCTCTATTAGGACGTGTACGTGTGCTTGTGTGTGTCATAAACTCAGCATATGGCCGGCTCAGTGGAGGATCAGTGGGGCATTTCATTTCACTCTCCTCTCCCTCGCAATTAATGTGCCTTCACTTTAGCTCCGACAGAACACGCTTGTACCATTCACAGTTAATCCTGTGTGATGGTAGTCTTGAGGGGTTAACTCCTGAGGAGGCGACGCCGATGGTTTAACTTACACGAGGTCAGGGGTCGTATCGGGGCAGCGGTGGTCCTCTGAGCTGCACAGAGTCACCTCGGGTCCCAGGTTCATGTTCAAGGCTTCACAAACCTGCTCTCTGCCTATTTACAAGTGAATGGAATCAGCTGGGGAATATAGTTTAGATACCAAATGAGCTGACAAATAGTCTTATATGCAATTTCAGTAAATGTGAAGTAAAAGTGGCAAACATTCCTGCCACCTCTTCTCCTCTCACGTGTCAGATGTTATTTACAAAAAGCTGCTGGCTGAAACTTCTCACACTCACTTATCATCTTATCGTCGATCTAAATCACATTTTCTAACTCTTATTCCAACACACACAAGCTCACCATTATTCCTAACACCTAGCACACCTCCATGTAGGAGCAGTCCAGCATAACCAGCTGCTGAAGCCTGGCCTGGGGCGGTAACACATGAGCCATTTACTCCCCCCAACAAGATCTCCCCAAGAGATCTGAGGTGTCTTTCCGAATCGACAACATGCTTCTCTGACCTTTACGACAATCAATGCATTAAGTCTGACTTCAGAACTTCTGCTTTCCTTCCGCTCAATACATGACATGACATAACGGCAGCAACATGCGTTTCCCAATTTACATATTATTTCTTGAAACGATCTGAACTCAAACTTTTTGTCAACTAACTTCGAAAGTCTTTGCATCCCCAAAACTTATTCCAAAAATACATTAACTCCAAGCTCAAAACAAAACCCTTTCTGTCACTTTTGAAGCATTTTGAAACAGGATTTTTCCACAAGACTTTACCAACCTGTACATTGCATAACCCAGTGAAGCCTCGTCGCTTTTCAAAGCAAATGAAGGTAACCTTTCTAATGCTGTCATCTGATAATTAGCTACAAGTTGAGGGGACAACCATTGCTAGATATGAGCATATTTAATTAGCATGAGAACTGCGC